CCCCCGGGCTACGAGGGGTACTGTTACTCTCCACCCGCCCCTGCCTTGCCCGCAACAGGTACTTCTATACGAAGCTGGCGCTAGGCACTCCTACTCGAAAATTTTCCGTCATCATCGACACTGGCAGCACCATCACCTATGTGCCATGTGCAGATTGCAAGCACTGCGGCAAACACACAGTAAGTTACGCTGCGCAGCAGGTCGCGGCGCAGCGCAAGTGCCAACAGCTGCCTGGGGACATCTTTCTGGCTTTGAGCCAGCTGCGACATATACTAAACCAGCGGGCATCACAACAGGGCAACAATGCTCGATGGTAGCTGGAACAGGCCAGGAGTGCAGCAGCAGAGCCGCGATTGGCCTAATGTCTTGATCGCTGCCACTCCTCGTGCGCTCCCTCCACCTGCCGTAGGATGCTGCTTTTGACCCCGCCCAATCTAGCACTGCGCAAGTGCTGCCGTGCGGGCACCCCAAGTGCAACTGCGGATCTCCGCCCTGCTCCTGCAGCAACAATAAATGCTCTTATCAGCGGCAGTATGGTGAGCCCAAGGCGCAGCCACAGCATCCACCCCTCAAACCAGGGACTCCGCACAATTGTCGCTTCAGTGGCGGCTGTGTTTATCCCCGTGTTTTCCCGTGGCTCTGCACCACCCTAACAGCCCCCCTTCGCGTTCCCATGCTCGTCTCAAACCCCATTACATCATTTTCAAACCCACTTCAAAACTGCAGCCGAGCACAGCAGCAGCGAGGGCTGGCTGGTGTTGGACCGCTTCCACTTCCCGGACGGCAGCACCCCCGTGGAGGTCACATTTGGCTGCGGCATGCGCGAGACAGGGGAGATTTACCGCCAGGCGGCGGACGGCATCCTGGGCATGGGCAACAATGCTAATGCACTGCACAGCCAGGTGGGGCCTAGGCTGATGTTTCAAGGGCTACTGGATCCAAGAGCTGCGAGGGGCGATGAGGGCGCCTGTCTTTGACAACAGAGCGCAAGCAGAGGAATTGCAGCATTTGCTAGCCCCAGTCAAGCAGACTTCAGCTCACCTTGATCTCCCTCACCTCACCTCAATTTCCCCCTGCTACCACACTGCCGTGATGTTCACATTGCCTACCCAGCTGGCGCGTGCCGGCATAACTTCTCGCGTTTTTTCCCTGTGCTTCGGCTTTCCTGCCGGCGGCACTCTGCTGCTTGGAGACGTGGGGTTGCCGCCCTCAGTGGGGCCCCTCTCCTTTACGCCGCTGCTGGCCAGCCCCACCCCATACTACGTCGTGCGGTTGGAGCAGCTCAGCATTGGGGGCGCCTCCCTTAACCTGGAGCCGGTGGGTCTGAGGGAAAGTTGCTGGTGGGGTTCGGGGGGGCCCTGGCAGTGTGGGCCCAAGATGGGAGGGCGCATGTGTGCAAGTGCACTTGGTTGCCGATTGACCAATGGGTCCTGTTACCTCCACACGCTGACCCTGAATGCTGTAGTCCGCCTCCTGCCCCCAACCCCCCCCCCCCCCCCCCCCCCCCGCTCCCGGCCAGGCCATATTTGCCAAGGGCTACGGCACCGTGCTGGACAGCGGCACCACGTTCTCCTACCTGCCCACAGCAGCGTTCGCGGCATTCACCGCCGCCCTCGACGCTGCCATCGTTGGCCGCGGGATGCGCAAGGGCAGCGGGCCAGACCCGGCGGTGAGCTGCTGGGGTGGTGGTCTGCGCAGATTGCGTCCGAAACAATTTCGCATGAGGTTGTGGTGGCTTACCCAGCGCAGAGGGGTGGGCCAAATCAGGCGGCTCACTGCACCTCTGCTCCCTAGCCGTGACGGGCTGAATTCTCCCAACGCTCTGACGCCATGTGCAGTACCCTGATGTGTGCTACAGCGGAGCCCCCGAGAAGTTTGAGGACGCCGCCAAGATGTTTCCCACGGCTTCCTTGCGCTTTGCCGGTGGCGCCGTGCTATCCCTGCCGCCACACCGCTACCTCTTTTTGATGGGCCGCGGAGAGTACTGCCTGGGGGTGTTTGACAACGGCCAGTCCGGGACGCTAATCGGCGGCATTGCAGTGCGCAATGCTCTCGTGCTGGTGCGTGGGTGGGTAGGTTGGTGGATGGGTGGGTGGGTGCGTGGGTGGGTGGGGCTTGGCAGGAGCGGCACACAGGTACGGCGGTGGTGGGCAAGGGGGAAGGGTGGGGCGTAGTGTCGAAGGAGAGCCAGGGCCAATCCACCGGAGCACAGCAACTGCACCATGGGCGTCAGTGGGCCTCCATCCTGGCCTACTTTGTGATGCGTCAACCCGCGACGACAGCACTGTATCCCCGCCCCGTGGCCCCCGCCTCACCTCACCCCAGTATGACCTGGAGCGCCAGCGCATTGGCTTTGCAGAGGCCGACTGCCCCAACCTCGGGTCAGCCGTGGCGGCAGCAGCGGCTGCAGAGCCGGTCAGCCCGGGTTGCAGGGACACACATTGAGGGGAGCCTGAATGCCCCGCTGCTTGCTTTGACTGCTGTGCTTGCCATGCGATGCCGTTGCTCGTCGACGCTTGCTAGCGCCTGGGTCAGTCGTTTGCCAGGAGCTGATACTCATCTTGCCCCCATGCCCGCTGCTTTGCGGCCGCCGCCCAGGACCCCTCATCAGCACCACCATCACCACCCGGGAACTCCCAAGAAAGTGCAGCAGCAGCAGCAGCAGCAGCAGCAGCAGCAGCCAACTTCAAGCCCGCATCACCATCGGCACCACAGCCCTCCACAGCCAAAGCCTCCGGAATCCCAACCAGCACGGCCTCAACAACAGCAGGAGAAGAGGCTGCACCACCATCACAGCCCTCTGCCGCAATCGGCGGAGGAGAGGCAGCGGCTGGTGGAGCACCAGGTGCACTCTCACCAGGCAACACAGGGTCCGGCGGCAGCAGCGGCGGCGGCGGCGGCGGCGACGGCGGCAGCGGCAGCAGCAGCGGGGAGAGCCAAGGCGGCACATCAAACACCACCGACAACGAAGGTGCCGACGCCATCACCGGCGATGGCGACAGCAGCAGCAGCGGCGCGGCAGGCAGCAGCGCCAGCGACGGCTGGCTCGGGGTGATGGCAGCGGGTGTCGGCGTCAGCGCAGTGCTGCTCGCAGCCTACGCCCTGTATTCTCGCCGCGATTCCTTAACTGAAGTGTGGACACGTTTGGCAGGGCTGCCGTGTGCGCAGTATGGACAGGGCCGCCCCAGTGCAGCGGTCGCTGCGGAGGACGCCGAGGCGGAGATGACGCCGCTGTCACTGGGGCTGCGCGGCGAAGACGACGTTGATGGTCATAGCAGGGGCCGGGGCTGCTCAAGCAGCAAAGACGCCGGTGGTGGTCTCCCTATTATTGCGGTGGCAGGCGGCTCTGCGTGATGGCCGCCAACCGATTGTTCATACCCAGCCACTTTGTAAATCTTGCATTTTTGTAGGGCCAGCGGTTTAGTTCCTTGAGTTTGAGGTTGTGTACAAGCTTTGTAATTGACGCGAACCTTAAAATTTTGTTTGTATCACGGGACGCCATACATGGATTTTCGATAGCGCACCTAGCATGTACGGTGCCATACCGGACTTTTGAGTTCAGGCGTGGCGCGAGTGCTGGGCTGTGTGTTGCAGCGAACTGCAGTTGTGACTGATGTTTGCCTTGCTGCATGGAAAACAACATCTGTTTGGTTAGAAAAGCGGAGCCTGCGCTTCGCATGTCATGCAAATAATACATGCTGGGTTGATCGCTTGGAGGGCACCGCACTGCCACTTGTGCCTTGACCTGCCTTGTCACTGGCAGTGGCATGCAGTACTCGTACACCGGGTTCACAAGACTTTTCACATGACAAAGAAAGCCATTTTTGAGTAGAGGTATACTTCTATTTCTTTCAGTGCCTCTCTTGTATGCAGACGCCATGTCGACGCATCCAGTTGAATCGGCAGATTCCCGCGTGGCCACACGTCACCAGGGACGGGCTGCCTGTTGGCGGCCGGCCCACTGCGTGTAGAGAGCACTGCCGTTGCAGCTGCCGACCAAGCCATAGACATCGATCTACAAGACACAAACATCTTCAAGCTACAAAAGCTCCTTATCATAGGCGTCCTTGGGCGTACAGCCTGTCAGATCATATAGGCCATCATCCCGCGGTCCCTCCGGAACGCATATAAAATGCGTGTAGCCATGTACGTTGTGGCTGGATGGCTCCTGATGATTGTCCTGGGAGGTGCGGCACAGGCACGCCAAACTTCACGCCGATGTGCGCGGCCCATATTGTGGATCAAGCATCCATCGGCCAGGCAGTGGTGGTGTGCAGAGCCAGCGGCGCTGGTCTTCGGCGTGCTCTCCCACTTCCTTGCTTGAAGCTTCACCTCCTCCCTGTCCGACCCCCTCGTGCGCACATACAACCATACATCCGAGCAGAGGTCTCAGGGCAGACCTGCCCATCGCCTCAATTTGCCTGGAGCAGCCGGTGAGACGCCATTACCTGGGTGCGGCAATGCACATGCGCTCATGTACGTAAGGCTCCAGCACACATGTGAACTGTTTGCCTGGAATGCCTGCAGCTCCCAATCACCACCTTGATTAATAGGCGACACAGCTTGGCGGCACGCTCGTGCATCCATGGCCACGCAGCCCCGCCCTGGCGCTGCCAGTGCCCTTTGTAGTGTACATTTGTGCCTTCACGCAATCTTGATCTTGAACCTAATCTCCCCCAACCATTGGCAACGCCAGCTGCTGGTACAGGCGAGACACCGGGTCTGTCCGTGCCGGCCCTGGCAACAACATCTTTAGCTCCTCCCTTGCCACGGTGGCGCCAACTGGCTTCTTGCAGCTGGGGGTGGCCAAGTCTGGTGGCAAATGGGTGTGCTCGGAGGTTTTCCTGTCTGAGAGCCTGGGCTACGGCGATTACGTTTTCGTGGTCGAGAGTGATCCAACCCTGGTCAACAAGGTGGGGCCGAGTGCGCGCGCGTCGGGGGTAAGTCTGACAACGGGGCAAGACCATGCGTCCATGCACACGCCTGATTCGATTGGACCTTCTGCATGCAGCTGCCTGTGTACGTGCAATTCACAAAACGTCCACCTGAGGACCCCACATCCCAAACTCCCCATCCTTTGGCTGCGTGGCACCGGACCCCAACTGCCCCCCCCCCTCCCGCCCCCTCAGAACCTGGTGTTTGCCCCCTTCCTGTACAAGGTGGGGCAGGAGGAGGGGCGCAGCGGTAGCAACGAGCAGCATGCAGCAAAATCCCGGAGCGAGCTGGCATTTAATGCCGGACATGTACCTGTGTGTTTCTGCGAACCTTTTCACGCGTACCTGTTGGTGCGGGCCTTCCCCTGTCGATGCATGCCCTCACCGACTCGCCTGCCCACCCCACCCTGCTGTCCCCTCCAAACATTCCACTAGAATGACACTGCTGAGATTGACATCGAGTTTTCGACATGGGGTGGCGCCACAGTCCCCAACAACGCTCAGTACGTCCTGCAGCCCTACAGCGCACCCGGGGCGCTGCACCGATTTGTCACCCCCAGCGCGCAGTACACCACCCACCGCATCCGCTGGGCCGGGCCAAGCAGCCCCAGCCAAGTCGCGTTTGAGAGCTGGGCTCCAGGGGCGGGCGGAGCGCAAACGCAGTCCTACCAGGCAGCAGGAGGCAGCCCCTTTGAGGCGGGCGGGGAGCGCGTCCACTTCAACTTATGTGAGCCTCCTCCCTGTGCACCTTGCGCCGGCCTTGCCTCTGTTGAGCTAGGCTGGTAGGCAGCAGGTTGTGGGTGTCAGGGTTGGCTGCACCCCCACATTACAAGCAGCTCGCAGTATCCCCACCTCTTTTGATAGTGCAGCAATGTCTCGGTGTCCCTGCGAGTTAGAAGTTGCAGCCACCAGCCCTGCCAGGTTGAACTTTTGACACGCTTTCTCTGCTCCAGCCCTTTCTCTTCCTTTTTTTCCCTGCTTGACCGGCTTGCATCAGGGGCTCACCCCCCCCCTGCCTCTGCCCCTCACACTCTGCCCACAACAGGGATCTACTCAGGCGGGAGGCCCTCCGATGCAGCCGCAAACTACATGCGCCTGGCCTGCTTCGCATCCTGCCCCATCGACCTCGCCACTGGTGCAGGCGGCTGCGTGGCGCTCGGCTCGAAGCCCACCTGTGCCAACACGGCAGGGTTGTGGTGATGCTGGGCCCTGCAAGGGCTGTAAATGCATGTTGCTTCTGTGCCTGCAATGACAGATCACCCCCATCTACATAAGCAAGCTTTGTGGCGGGCCTGCCTGGGCATCACTCTATTGGCGCCGCCTTTGCGCAAGGAGGCGGCGCTGCTTGATGCTGTGCGGTTGATGGTGTGGCCCCTTCAAACATGGCCTGAAACAGGGGCAGCAGAGCTATTTACAGACCACTGACGACACACATGCAGGGGCTAGGTGTACCTTGTTGCGCCAGTGCACACTCAATGCCCCAAATCCATCGCCACAGCACCGAATTCCCCAGGACGAGCAAGCAGTGACCATGGACTCATGGGTAGAGGGACAAATCCATTCACCCATCTATGCAGCTGTGATAGTAAGCTAACTGTCAAGCAGCATCTGCATCACTCTGCGCCGTCATGGGCTCATGGCAGAGGCCGGTATCAAGGTGGGAGTGCCCTGGGGGCCGGCACATGCTAACGGCAGGATTTGTTATGTACCCGCAAGTGCACATGCACTTGCCTATGGCACATGTATCATAATATAGCTGTTTCACATAAATGATGGTCCTACAAATGTTGTAGATCCGACCTACTGTACATCAAGGGTCTGGTGTCGCAGTTTCAGAGTCTAGATTCGCGAGCTACAGCCGTGAGTTCGGCGCACGTCTCAGCTCAGACAGACTCGGCATGGGGCCGAAAAGTGCAGTGATGAAGGCGAAGTCCAAGAAGATTGCTCGTCCTGTGACCGTCTGGATGGACCGATCGGCGCCGCGCACGCCATCGTACGAATCGATGCGTGCGTCCGTGCGCGCCCAGGGCGCCAAGTTCCATGCCAACAGCCAGGCATACGAGGAGGGCAAGAAGTCAAAGTGAGCTTGGAGATGTTCAAGAGGGGCTTCGATAGAGTAATAGTATTGGCTGCCTCTGTGTGCAGTCGACCAAGCCGGAGGCAAATGAGCCGCATCGACCATCACCGCCCCTCTCTGGTGACCTCTGCTGGGTTGCAGGCTGGGGAGCAGGGAACTTGAGGCGTAAGCAGTCACTGAGCGCACCCATTGACGCCAAGCACACGCGCTCTCCTCCCCTCCTCGCCGCCAGGTACACGGGCCTCTGGTGCCGCAAGACAGAGTGGACCACCCAGTGGTCGTGCTGCCTCCGGGAGCCAGGCCGCGGCGGCCCCGACCATTCGTGGTCTCCTGATGATGAGCCGCTGCTGCTGCTGCAGTGCAACAGCGAGGTGGAGGCGGCCCTGACGCATGATCTGGGGGCCCTGTGGCTGACGCTCAACGCCACTGGTGGGTGACGCGATTGGGCACAAGGCTGGGGGCCGCCGCAGCGCGGATTGGGGCATGACCTTCATGCCGGCAGCAGTGCCAGAGCCGTGGATGCACCATCATATCTTTGCTCCCTCGGACCACCCCATTGTGTCTTCTACAGGTGGCGCGACCGAGGAGCAGCTGAAGCGCATGCGCTGGAACCTGCCGCAGCTCCAACTGTGGCAGGACGGCGCCGTCAAGTCGCTGTCAGGGATACACCTCGAAGACAAGGGCCGCGCGCGCACCACCATCAGGCGCCTGGTGAGTGACGACTGGCCTAGAGTGACACAGCGGGTTCACAAAAGTGCGCACATCGGCCCAGTGGTTGAGACTGACTTGCGAGTAACGTGCGGGTGACGCACGACACTGTCCCAGGCGCGAAACACGCTGCACGCCCGCGTCTGGCCCTGCAAGTGACCTGCCGTGTGTCGTCTCTGATCACACCCCCCCCCCTCGGTGCGTGGTTGCAGGCCCAGCGGCTGCTGCGCCAGCTGCCGGCCGGCATGCTGCCCCCTGCACAGGCCAAGAAGATCGCGAAGGACGATAAGGCAAAGGCCGTGAAGAAGGAGAGGCAGAGGAAGGCGGCCGCTAAGATGAGGGAGGCGGACAAGAAGCGTTTTGCCAAGGTGGCGTTCCTGGTCCACCAGGCTTCTCTCACGGCGCGCAAGACGCAAAAGCAGGAGGCGGCCAAGAGGAGGGCGGCAGAGGAGCGTGCCAAGGCGGCAAAAAAGCGTGCGGCTGAGAGGGAGGCTGTAGCCAGGATCAAAAAGGTGCGCGCCGTGGCCGAGGCGGAGCGAGCGCACGAGCGGCTGAAGCGTGAGCGGGATGCACGCGTCAAGCAGCGTGCCACCAAGCGGGCACGCACATGACCGCACAAGCCTGCAGGCCTCGTTACAACAGACGGCCTTGTTTTAGCCGGAAAATTATTTTCTCTTTTCAGATGATTTTGTGCCTGTAAATTGTCACACACTCTGCGCGGGTGGGCAGCCTCAGACTGGGACTGGGGAGCAGGGCGAGCAGAGCAGGAAAGCCAGACTGGTCCGTGGATGTGTGGTAAGGTTTTCAAAGGTCTTGCAGATATTGGGATGAAAAAAAGTGTTGAAGCACTGTTTTCACAGCTGATCAATGGGCAGGGGCGCTGCAGCATGCCGTCAAAACCCGGCCATCGCTGGTCCGCTTGAACAGCTGCGAACAGCTGCCGTGGCAGCCCTGCAGGGCGAGGCAGGTTGTATGCCGGAGGACAGGACCGTCTCATTTAGTGCATGCGAGACCTAATGTTATAGATGCTAAGGTACGGTTCCCGGCGGCATCTCATATGCTTCCAACGGATTGGGCGAGACCGATGACTGATCACAGGTATGGCTCCTCCGCGGCTTCACCTGTGCTCGACCCAAAGGTGGAGCCCTCGATCAACATGACTTGGTACATGCAAGGATTTGAGCGCATATAATCTCCTACTTCACCGCTGATCACGTTGGCAACGGCAAGAGGTTGGTTTTTTCAAACGCAGCCGAGGCCGCACTATTGCTAAGCGCCAGACATACCATAATCGTCTAGAACTGATAGCTCGTACTGCTGCCGTAGTTGCTGCTGCTGCACCGGCGCCGGCTACTGCGGCCTGCCACCAGCCCAGGCCTTGGTCCCCTCCACTTTGACTCCCTGCAAACACACCCCCACTTCATTGCGTGGCTTTCCAACCCCTTCAAGCAGAGCAGTAGCCGCCATACGATGGCGCGCCGCCTGGCGCTGAGCGTGCTGGTGCTGGCGCTGTTTGCGGGCGCCGCAATGGCGCAAGACTGCAGCGGCATCACTGGCTGCCTGAAATGCGGCATGCGTGGCAAAAAGGAAGGCCGGGACGACAAGGTTTGGTGCACCGTCTGTGACGAGGCCAACGGTTACGCCCTCAAGGCCAAGAAGGGCCGTTGCGGTGAGGGCTTTCGAGGAGCAGGCCCAAGGGTTTTGCTGGGGAACCAAAGCGCAGCCTTGCAGCGCGTCTTGACCAGTTTGCAAGAAGCCAGCCGGCGTGGTGGGACGTCTTGTGTTCTGACCGGTCGCCTACTGTTAGATGCCTTTTGTCTGCCCATTACCTGCCCACGCTGCCTGCCCCGCCGAATTTCAAACCAGGATGCGCTGCGGGCTACTACAGCCGCACTGCAGAAGGCGACAAGCTCGGGGCCTGCAAGAAGGCAACCGGCACCACGGTGGCGGCCGCCGGCCCTATTAACGACGGCGCCAACATCGCACGCGAGTGCCTTGACAACAGCATCCCCGACGTGACCCATGGCCACTGCGAGTGCAAGGCCGGCTACTACGTGCTGCTGGGCGGCCAGACCCCACGCTGCATCCAGTGCACGCCTGGCAGCTACACCGACGCGCCCAACCTGCGCCTTGCCTGCAAGCTGTGCTCCGTTGGGAAGATCCACAACGCCGCCCACACTGCCTGCAGTGAGCAGCCAGGGGGACACAGGGGTGCGGGGTAGCGGGGCGTTGGTAGGGCAGCGGCGGGGGTGCTCAGACAGCTGTAGTCAACATGGCTTTCGGCTACCACTTGGTGAACGTCATTGGCGCTTAGTTGCGACATCAGCCCTTAGGTTCCTTCGCCATGACCCTGACGCCAGTCTCACTTGAAACATCACGCACGCCATCCATTGGGGCAACATCGACGCCTGCTGCTGACGCCACCTCTCTCCCCTCCCCCAGTCAACCTGTCCGAGGCGTTCAGTGGCGTGGCCGACGTCATCACCGGTGTGCAGGCTAAGGCCGCCGAGGTCGTTGCCGGGGCTGGGGCCGCCACTCAGAAGAGCGTGGCGGATGCCAGGGCGGCCGCCCAGGACGCGCTCGACGGCCTGGCGGAGCGCCTGGACGCTTCCGGCCTGCCCGAGGGCGCGCAGAGGGGCATCGCCACCGTGGCGGAGCACCTGAAGCCGGCGATCGCACAGCTCAGCGCTCACGCGCAGGGCGCGCTCAACAACGTGACGGCGACCCTCAAGAATGCCACGGGCCTTGACCTGCCCAGTGCGTTTGACGACCTTGACATCCAGGACCGCCTCACCAGCCTGGGCAACAGCGCGCTGGCCCAGGTCAACTCCACCCTGCAGACCGCCATCAAGGCGGCGCCCGCCGCTCTCAAGACTGTCGTGGCCGCGCCCGTCACCGCCAACGCTGCTGCCCCCGCCGACGCCAAGGCTGTCCCCTCTGCCGTCGTGCCCGACGTCCACGCGCCCATCATGGCGGCCAACGCGACCCACAACGTCACCGGGCGCCCCTGGCCCGTGATTGCCCGTGCGGTCGACCTCAGCAGCGTGCCGGGCTTTGAGCTGGCTGACCCCAGGCTGGCTGAGCGGGACGCGGACGACGTTGACGAGATCGTGGAGGAGGGCGGCACGCCCGGGGACGATAGCGAGCCTCTGGAGCCCAGCGACCACCTGGTGTCGAGCAAGCACCACCTGGCCCCAAGCGAGCACCCGGCCCCAAGCGAGCACCCGGCTCCGAGCGCGCACGCCACCTTCGTGGACGCCCTGGTGAAGCGCCTCAACCTTACGCAGCCCTTTGAGAAGATCAAGGCCAAGATGCAGAAGGAGGGCGATGAGAACCAGCCCTCCATGAGCGACTACTTGGGAGAGGTGCCCTCGGTCGGCCACATCCTCAACATGCTGGTAGGCTTTCGGCTGGGCTGGGCTGGGCTGGGCAGTCCTAGGTCGGGTCTTGAGGGCGGAGGGTGTATTGCTTTGCGCGCTTTTTCAATACCACGGCTGCAAGGTGTTCAGAGCAAACAGCAGCCCCTGCTTGCATCAAGGTCATGTGTGTTTTTGGGTTATGTAGCTGTAGGCTGGTGGCTGCATCGACGCGTCTACAGCCTGTACGTGCCAAGCCCCAAATCTTCGCTCTTGCCTCGAATACTCACCCCCTCCGCCCCCGCCCCTTGTGAATGCTTGCAGCGCGGCGGCTTGCCCCCCATTGAGGACATTCCCGGCCTGGAGCAGGGCTCCACGGGCCCCATGGACACGATGGTCAAGCTGCTGCGCAATGTGGGCGGCGAGGACAGCCGCCCCAGGGAGGGCCTGGAGGAGGTGATGCCCAGCATCATGCACGGGGTCATGAGCAACCCCCTGCTCTCGATGCGCCAGCGCATGGGGTCGACGGGGCAGGACCAGGATGAGCAGGGGGACCAGGACAGCGCGGCCCCCAAGGTGCGCCCTGCCGGCCAGGCCCACGTGCCCAGGTCCCACATCACGTACGAGTACGAGGACTAGGACTAGGCGACAGCACGCACCCCTGCAGTAAGCTGTGGCAGGCGGCGCGATGCGGAACCTGACAGGGTTGCTATGTTTCACCCCGGAGCAGCGGGGCGCCCCAGATTGATGGTGCCATGCCTGCAGCTGTCTGGCGCGACTGCACCAGGACTACGCTTGCAAGTCATGCCTGCTGTTGCGTTACCGCCCCAGCACCACTTTCAGCGCAGCGTCCCGACCTGCTTGACTGGCATTTGCAAGGCTCCTGTCCCATATGCAATGCTTTTAATGACTGTGAGGGTGAGGCATGGAGAGCTTGTGCCCCTGCACACAAGCATCAGTCAACAAGTGCACCCTTCCCATGGAACATATTGCTGTGGCCGCGTTCATGCGCGCCCAGCGTCGCGCCCGCACCTGTTGTGGCTCGGGCCTTGTATGCCGACGCTCTGCCAGATAAACATTGTAACGATCCAGCAACGATCACTGTCACAAGTCCTTTGGACATTTTTGATTGAGCTCGTTTGTCCCCACAGCGGGCTTTCAGGAAGCCATGCTAGCAAACAATAAGGCGTCAGCACTAATCCACCAACTCCTGAGCAGAATCGCAAAGAAGAAGCACCAGCTGAGGCCATAGTGGTTACATATAGTTGCGAGATGGGTTTGGGTTAAAAAAGGGACGGCTGCACTTGGGGTCGCCAACAAGCTGCACACATGCGATGCGGGCCCTACCACATGAATCGCGCTACGCTGCCGTCTGGCCAAGAGAACGGCCGCGCCAGGAACATGTACAGGACCGCTGCATTCACAGCCGCATACCCTAACCCCGTCGCTAGCAGAGCGCACGCATTCCAGCGTGCTGCCGCCCGCGCCCCACCTCCAGCTGCTGCCGCAGTGCCTGGCGACCAGAGGTGCAGCAGCCCCAGCACCAGGCCGGGCGTGAAGTAGCGCGGTTCCACCAGCCAGGCCGGCAATAGCGTCACAACCACCGCGGCAGCGTACGCTGCGCACCACAGCCGCCGCTGCCGCGCGGCCAGGCCGCCCAGCAGCAGGCGCCAGCCCAGCAGCTCGGCGGGTATAAGGGCGTAGCGCGCAGCCCAGTGGCGGGCCATGACGCGGCGCCAGAGGTAGAAGGTGTAGTGACGGTTGTCCGCCAGCAGGTAGGGGTGCGCCAGCGTGCCCCGGCGAACGGCGAGCGCCGCAGCGGCCACTGCAACGAGCGTTCCCGCTGCCTCAAGCACTGGCCGCCGCCGCACGGCCGCCAGCAGCGCAGGTGCACCGCCGCCAGCGGCCGGCGCAAGCAGCAGCGGGCCGGCAGCGGCGAGGGCAAACAGACCGAAGTACAGGGGCTGCGCCAAGTGCTTGACCGGCGCATGCGCCTCCCTGTCCCCCACTGTGACGCCACCATTCCACACCACGAACGCAGCAAACGCGGCCGGCACGAGCAGCAGTGGGCCATACCGCTCCAGAAGCTGCTGCCGGAAACGCCATGTGCGTGGCAGTGCGGCCGAGAGCTCCTCTATCAAGGACAAATCCTGTGGTGTCGCGTCCGCTGCACCTCCGCCAATGGCTTCGCCGCCGTAGTATCCCTCCTTGGCGGCAGTCTGTCCGCCCTGCTGCTGCTGCTGCTGCTGCTGCTGTGCACCCCCCTGCCCCTGCCCATCCCCCTCCAGAAGGTCTTCAAGCACAGCACCCCCAATCATAAGCGTCACCCACACAGCGTTGGTCTGCCGCATGCCCACTGCGACTGCTGCAGCCAACGCACCGCCGCGCACCATGCCGCGCAGCAGCAGCAGCTGCGTCAGCAGCAGTGCGGCCATTGAGGCCACGTCTGTGTAGTACAGGAAGGCAAAGAATGCGTGCGTGGGAAGCAGCGACACCACCAGTGCGAGCACCAGCGCGCTCCGCCGCATGGCCACCTCGTCAGCGTTGCTCGGCTGTTGCGCCCCCCTCTGCTGCTGCTGCTGTTGCTGCTGCTGCTGCTGCTGCTGGTGGTGGGCGGCGTGCTGCTGGTTGTTGTGCTGCTGGCCGCCTTGTTGCACCTCGTCCTGCAACCGCTGCCGCCGCCGCCCGACAGCCGTGCGTCCCCAGCAGCGTCGCTGCAGCTCGTAGCTGACCGCGTGCGCCAGCTGCAGGCAGGCGAGCGCGAGGATGGCGTTGAGGCTGCGCAGGTAGGCCGTGGAGCAGGCTACTTCCTGCGATTGGATGTGCAGTTGGCTGCATACCTCAGTGCTGTTGTGGTTGCGAGCAATTGTTGGGAGGGGGCCTTTGAGCCAATCCGCTGCCAAGGCGGCAGTTGCATGGCATTCGGGCATACGCGCATGCGTACACACGCATATCAATACAGCAGAAGTCTTGCGAGTGAAACTCAAAGCATTGCTCCAACGGGACGCACCATCCTTATGCCCGCCCAGCCTGCCAGCCCGCGCGCCAGCCATGCATAGGCGGCGCCGACGACGTACAGCCCCGGGAAGGTGGTGATCTTGGGGTCCCACGTGGTAAAGTCGCCCGCGCAGTAGCGTTGCGTGGCAGGAACATGGAATGGCTCGTCCTGCAGCCACCATCAGGGGTCAATGGCAAAATCGGCACAGCCGGCTTGTTGAGGCCAGTTGTCAGGCGCCACATGGCTCCAACTGCAGGGGCCAGCTTTGCGACGGCATAAAAACCAGAAGGTGCTTTCTCTCGCTTCCAGCTGCGCAGTGCACACCATATATGCCTCGGGCGCAAGCTTGTTGACAACGGCGACCACAGCCAGCAGCAGCGACAGCACCGTCACACTCCAAGCAGCTGACATCCAGGCGATCGGATGGGTTCCTGAACCACCAAGTTTTGTTTCGTTCATTTCTGCTGCTTCCTAAGAAAGATTATGCACAGTACAACTATCAAGTGATCTAAAGTGCAGCACTTCGCGTAAACATGGCGCACACATACGCCAAATAAATCATACACGCTGAACGTCGGTGCCTTGAAAGACGCAGCGCTATGCTGCGTTCTGGCTGCGTTTTTTGCATTTCGGCTTTTGGATGCTCGTGCACTTGCTTGCTGCAGGACTCGCCGTCCGTGCAGTTGTCCACATTGTCTTGCAATAGGTTGTTCATCTTACGTGGTACAATTGAAGTTCTAAGGCACGGGCAGCAGCGGGCACGATGTTCACCTCCATGCCCACGGTGGCTCGTGCGGCGCCCAGCACAGGTGCGAGCGTCTGGCAGCAATGTGTATGTTTTTGAAGCGGATAGAACGCGCATTTACAGCAGGGCCATTGGCGCCTGGTGGCCGTTCACCTCGCAGCATTGCTTCGGCCTCATTCTTGCGCAGGCCGCGCCTTCACGCCCGTGGTGTGCAAGGCTGGTCAGGACAGCCGCAAGGCGCGTACTGCCAAGCGGCACCAGAGCATCCGCAAGAAGGTGCGTCGATTGAGAGGCCACAGTGTGCTATCGCTTTCGCGGTGGCTGTGTGGCGAGGGGTTCCGCTCACTGGCAATGCGTTCTTGACCCGCCGTGTCCCTACAGGTCAGTGGTACCACTGAGAGGCCGCGCCTGGCGGTGTTTCGGTCGAACCAGCACATCTACGCTCAGGTGCGGCGGCAGCAGCGGCGCACACGCTTCCGGGCAGCAACGACCCACATTGGGACAGCTTCAATGGTTTGGTGGTGCCTTATGTAAGCTGGATTTGCGTAGGTTGTAGAGTGGCTGCTGCAAACCAGCATGTGGCCCGTGCGAACCCAGCAGCGGCATGGTTGCACCGCTGCGTCGGCTTGCTACTGGTGTGCATGTGTGGCATGGGCACGGGGAGTGCCCAACTGGCACCTGCTACCGCACAATTCGCACATATGCCACAGGTGATTGACGACACCCGCAGCATCACCCTGGCGGCGGCGTCCACCCTCACCCCGGACGTCAAGGCGGCAGTGGAGGGGAACGGCGGCACCGTGGTGCGTGGACCTGCGGGCGTCAGGGGCGTCTGCCTCTGTAGCGTAGAGGCCGCGATCGGGGATCATTTCTTGACTAGCAGCATCCCTGGCATTCGTTTGTGGTCTTTCTGGACAGGTGCTCGCATGTGCATGCAGGTACCGCTGGTGTCATGGCTGTGAGCCTGTGCAGCAGCGGAGCAGCGTGCCGGCTCTGGTTTCGCTGTGCTCTGCATGCGCCTGCACCCCTCTCATCTCTTATGTGATCCCACATGCACCGCCTGCCTGCTCACAGTCGGCAGCGGAGGCGGTGGGCAAGAAGGTGGCTGAGCTGGCGCAGGCAGCTGGCATCAGCAAGGTCGCGTTTGACCGCGGCGGCTTTGCCTACCACGGCCGCATCCAGGCCCTCGCAGACGGCGCCCGCGGCGCCGGCCTCCAGTTCTGATACCTAGCTTTATATCTTGAAGCTGGTAATGGACGGAGTGCGGTGTTTGTTTCCAAAATTGTAACACGCCCGATTACTTATGTCAGTGGCATGCGCGCGAGGGATGGGGGCGCAGGGAACCCCATCAGCCTCTCTACAAAGCTGCCACGAAGGTGCGATGCCAGGGCTGGCGGGGTTTGATTGACGAGCATTGGGGTGGGGATAGCCTTGCAAGTTGCATGGCTGCAATGGGCAACAATGTCGCAGCCTGCCGCAATGTGCGGCAAAGGACTAAACACCCGAGCAGGACTCTCAAATCAGCACACACACACACTAAAACCAAGACAAAATCGCACTTGTGCCGGAGCACCCGTAAAACACATAACTCCAACTGACACTTTCAAGCATGTCCCTGTGATAGACAACAGTACCGCAGTGGCCCCCTTCAAGCAGATCCCTGCCTTATGCCTAGCATCCGCAGCCCTGCCTCGTATGTGCTCTGCAGACCGTCCCGCCGTGCAAGTGCATCAGACGCTGTTGCTAGCCCAACCCGGCGCAGCAGCGAGGCCGCCGACAAGCGCGCGCGATCCGTGATTGTAATGTTGACAATTGGGCCGCTGCCAATGAGCAATGGGGCGCATTGCGGCTTGCACGACTGGGGCTGCATGACAGCGCGAGACGCGGCCCTGTTGATCAGGGCGAGTGCGGGCGTGCCCAGGGGCGGGTCAGCAGGCGAGGTGGTGTTTGGAACGCTAGATGCTGCAGGGGTGGGCATGTTGGCATCACAGCTTGCCACGTTATTTTGTGACACAGCGGGTCCAGCTTGCTGGTTGCCCGTGAGGACGCCAGGCGTGCAACCAGCGCGGTCACGCGACAGGGGCCTCCCATGCGCCCGTGCTGGTGGGGAGCGTCGAAGGTTGGGCGAGCACGCTTGACCCACCAGCTGGCCGTTGTGCCTGGGTCCGGGTCCCCCAGCAGGCGCGCGATCATGTAGACCGTGGCAAACGTATCACCAGCGCCATTTGTGTCGATGGCCGTGACCTGCAGCGGAATTGAACGGGACAGGGTGAGAGGGACGCCGCTGTAGCGCTGGGCTATGGCAGCAGTGACCACGCAACAAGACAGGGCCCCCTTGCCAACGGTGCAGACGCGCTCTGGTATAATATCACGTCGATGAGGTGGGCCGTGCACCCAGCCATGCATGGCGTGGTGGGAGCACCCACCTTGACAGGCTCTATGAGCCGCGGCCCATCTGCTCCAGGCAGGAACTTGTGTGCGCCCTTGTCGCCGAGCGTCACCAGAGTGGCCTCGGTGCGGTTGGCAACGCGTGTGACAGCTCCCTTGGGCCAAGATTCGGTCTCAACGTCTGACAAAAACAAGGACACGCGCGGTGCCAGCCCGTCCTGTGTGGGTGTGAGGAAAGGGTGGGAACAAGCGCAGGGATTGCCTGCGTCGAGAGGCCCAGTCAAGTGCACAAGACACAAAAAAGCAGGCGCGCTCGGTTGCAAAACGCCCCCGGGCCGCGCCACAAGCCCCGCTAAACCCAGCAGGCACCACGCACCAACGGCAGGGGTTAGCACCACCCACTGAGGCACTGCAACACCCACGCACACACAGTGTCCGTGCGCATACCAGGAGTTGCTGCGAGGGCTCTGTCAATGGCAGCACCTCCCCCTCTGGCCCGAGCTTGCGCTGGAAGCCCTGAGCCATGAGGCCCACGGGCTGGTGGTCGGCGCCAGACACAAGGCGATCCAGGAGGCCTGAGGGTGGTGCGCGCGGGGAGGGGGCGATGACGCGGCCGGGACGGTCGTCGGCGCAATTTCGGGTCTACATTTTTCGCCAAACCGCACATGCAATCCGCTCTGGCCCAAGGAGCAGGACAAGCCCCACCGCCAGGGCTATGCCATCCGGGCCTGGCAGTGGCTGCGTTGCAGACCTTGAGGGCGCACAAAGGAGCCGGCATCGAGGTCGTGAAGGGTGAGGGGGCCCAGCAGCACGGCACGGGCACGGCGACACCACCAGGGCACGTCGCTGCGCGTCAGTGTGATGTTGGGGTTGGCTGTGACGCGCAGCTTGCGGTGGTTCCCTGCCAAGATCGAGGGGGACACGTGGTGTGGCGATGGCCGGGGAGCACTGTGTTGAGGGGGGTGAGCCTGAAGAGGTGTTGGGCCGCACGCGCACACTGGGCGATACGCACGGCACGGCACAGTCGATGGCGGATGTCACAATATCTGCCATCCCTTAAGAAGGAAGCAAACAGCACTCACCCCACCACCGGTAGGTGTGTGCAAAGGTGAGTGTCTCGTTGGCCGGCACCACCTTGAGGCTGTGGCCATCAAACACACCCAGCTGTGCCTCGGGGCCCGCGACTGCACGCGCTTGATGGGACGGGAGCGCATGCTTCAGGGCGTGCTGGGGCAGGAGCGTGGTGCACAAGACGATTCTGGTGTGGCAAGCAACTGATACTGTAAAGGGGAAGGCGATACCGTCTTGATCCACAAACAGGCAGGCACATTGCGGCCACCCTGCCGCAGCACATGCGGCTGGGCCTCCTTGGCAGGTCCCCGACAGCCAGCATTTGCAGGGCCGCCAACCCCGCAAAATTTCAGAGCTCAACACCTGTGACGATGCAAGCCCAAGCACCAAGGGCTTTGGCAGCCACCGCAGCATATGAAACAGCACCTCCCTGCAGTGAGTGAGCAGCATCATCGCGCACGCTATGCTTCTGCGACTGGACCTGACATGCACTCACCAAACGGTTGCCCCTGCATCTGTAGAACTTGAACGGGCACAGGCGTAGAGCATTCATAGATCGACAGGCACGGCTGCGCTGTCACAGCCGGGCCGCTGGTATGAACATGACTCAGGCAACGGCGCACCCCCGACCAGCGCCCCCACCGTTGGCGTGGTGCCATCCACCAGGTCGACTGTGATGTTGCCCACAATGAGCAAGTCAGGCCTGCAAGCAGACCGCAGGCAGCACGAGGTATATCATGACGAGCGTCCAGAATCCGGGGCAGGGCCCACGGCGGCGGCAAAGCGCTGCACGGCTGGAGTGGTCATCAAAGTGGCATCCAGCGGAGGTCCTGATCGTGCTCGCTCACCTGCTCAACTCGAGTGCTGCACCAGCAATGAGTAACACTGCGCTCCATACAAGACCTCTAGCTTGCTTTCCTATCATCCCTGATGCCTGGATCAGAGCTGGTGCCGACTAGGTGCCTGATCTTCGCTAGGACCTTGGTGTTATCAAGAAACCTGCCTGCACTTGTGTAGGCGCCAATTTGGTCACGCACACACGTGAACCGACGAGGGCCGACACTGTGAGCGTTCCCTCTCCCCTGCTCGGGTTTGTCAAACCTACAAGCTAGCGATCCAATAGCACATTCATGATATTTGCATGTGGACTTTGCCAGCTGTATGCGCTGCTAGGTATAGCATGGGTGCGTGACCTGTCATCAGTGACTGCTGCCATGTAGGGGTGGGTTCTGGTGTATGGCACCACCGTCGTCATGGCTAGATAATGCATCCAAGCAGCGCTGAATTTGGCCTGGTGCCCAGCCGCACTTCATCCATCAGCAACGTGCTGTGAGGTGTTGACCAGCCTGGAAATGTTGACCCACGTCTCAAGGGCACGCGGGCATTGCCCAACACCTTTCCTGTGCAAGCCAAGGCCCAGGACCCTTGATTTGCGCCAGCCATCATAGCACATGCCCGCACAGACTCACGCCCAACCTGCGAGAGACAGGCTTGCTTACACAGAGTGACAAAAAGCAGCAGTAAAAAACACACGCAACACCTCCTCAACCAGGCTGCATTGGCCAAGAGATCAAAAGGCGGCGTCATCGCCGCGAGCGCCGCCGCCTCTGCTCACTCGAAATGCCACCTTCGCTCGCAGCGCCAGCCACAGCCAGCGGGCCTGGCCCCACAGTACAGCAGCCCGCCAGACCGCCGCCCGTGCCGCCGTTGCAGCCGCACCCATCAAAGTAGGCCACCCTGCAGCACTGCCCAAGGAAAGCAAGCGGTGGCATGGTGACTAGAGCACGCAGCTGCCGTTTGAAATCTCCCTGCCCCCGCTGCTTTTGCCGCAGGTCGCCGCTGCTGTCGTCAACACAGCCAAGCTGCCGGCCTCGCTGTACGGCACCGCTTTCAAGCAGTGGGCCAATGCCGCGCGCCTCGGCTGCGCCAGTGCCCCCGAAATCCAGGAGGTAAGACAGGCCGCCGATGCCGGCGCATGACTGCAGTGCGCCCGCGGGCCCATTGCCCCAGCCAAGCGCAAGACCCGTGGCGCAGCCGGCAAGGCCACGGTTCCAGCCGTCCTCAACTTCACGGATGCGCTGGCAGATGCAGTGCACCGCAGTGTAGGCGCCGCTCATGACGGCAAACGACTGCGCCGAGCGCACGCCATCCAGGTGCACGAGAGCCCATTTGCTGGCACGGTGGCGGATGACGCCTGGCACAAAGCCAAAGAGGTAGCCCAGCATCCCCGCGGAGAAGGCAGCGGCAAGCCCCTTGACGGTGCAGGGCTGCATCGGAAATAGCCGGGCAGGGCCGTCCAGGTCGTGCTGCCGCGACTGTTGCAGTGCGTCGCTGGCACCGCCGGTGAGTGCACCATCGCCGAGGCGACCATCCGCAGGACCAGATAGCGCCTGCTCTACATCCGACTGCGAGTACAGGGGCCGCCTGTGGCTGGGCGGCATGGATGTCTTGGATTGGTTGGCCGCTTCTCAAGATGAGCAGTCTCCTGCGCCGCTGTCAGTAAAGTACTTCGCTCAAAAATTACGCAAAAGCAGAAAAGCGCAGGATGCAAGGATGCGTGTTGAGATCACTCTGGGGATGCTGCAAGTTCAGGCAACGGTAAAAACGTGCAAACATGAGTGTTTGAAGGCACATGTTACCGTACTTCAGCATCATATACGAAAATATTGCCATGACCAGGCGTTCCGACCCTGCGGGACGTTGTCATTGCACGCCGTTCGAAACCCCCGAAAAGCGACATGGACCTCAATCACGCGGTGACTGGGCTGCAAAAGTGGTGGAGCAGCTTGCCCGTGGTCACCAAGTGAGCGCACCCGAGGTGTTGATGGTGCGGCTCGCCGCGGCGCACAAGAACTGGAACGGGGCCTGATCAAACACAACGGCGATCCGACACCGCCCGTCGGGGCATGAGGCTGCAAACCCGCCACCCTTGCATTGCAGAGCAGATTTGGCTTGCGGCAATTCACCACGGTCCTCGGCGGACTGGCGCCTGAGCAACAATGAGTGCTGCGCACTTGCCGGCAACGCTGCCTTCTGATGCCTGACGTGCAAGCACCAGCGCCCTGACAATGCGACATGGCTGCTGGTGTCCTCAGGTTGGTCGGCGCAGCACTCGTGTCCATCTTCTTGGCACAGCTGATCCTACCGCCTTGGGCCCGGCGTGCAGTCTGCTTGGCTCTAGTGCTAGTTGTGTGGCGCCTGCAGGGTGCGGCTGCAGCAGGGGAATGGGGCGTGAGTAGCAGGCCGCCGCAAGTGCACCGCAAACAACATCGCCGGCACGCACGCTGTGTGAGGACAGCGCAAGGTGGTATTCATCCCCTGAAACCGTGCCGCACATTGCGGACAACAGTCATACGTGCTCGCTGAACCTTCAAAGTTGCTCAGACCATCCCTGTTCGCGTGCCAAAATCCATGCTCAACCTGCAGTGTGGCGCCTGCTGACAGCCCATGTTTGGCATGGAGGTATTATGCACTTGGTCCTCAAGATGGTGGCATTCATCCCGGTCGCCTCCAACTGGAAGCGTGTGACGGGCAGTGTGCCGTTTGCACACTGCCTACTGGTGCTGGCGCTGGTTACGGACGCGCTCTTACTGGCGCTGGCCTACATCTTCAGGTGAGCAACCGCCCAGAGGAATGGCGATCGTACAGTTCGCGCTATCGCATTGTGTGACGATCCTCTAGGCCAACGCATGCCGTTGCGGTGCATGTCCGTTTTTGGCGTGTTCCTCACCACGCGGCGGCATCGCCCATCCCTCAACCCACAACCAACCCAGCACAACTAACCTCTAACCCGCGCGTTGATTCATGCAAACAGCATCCCGGGCATGTGGAGCGCCCTTCGCACCTGTGATGTCGGCTGCGCTGGTGTTGTGTTTGGGCTCATGGTGGTCGACAACACAGCGCAAGGCCCGACGGCCAGAGGCCTGCTTGCGCGCGCCGGGGTGCCTGCACCCCTGGCATTCTGGGCGCTAATGGCGCTCGCCCAAGTCGTCGTGCCGGGCGCGTCCCTGCTGGGCGACCTGGCCGGGCTGCTGGCCGGCGAGGCCTGGGCCGCGGGGCTGCTTGAGGGCTTCGCGCTGTCTGACGCAGCGCTTGCATGGGCAGAGGCACACCCGCTGTACCAAGGGCTGGCGCGGGCTGGTGGCGCGGTGGCCGCGCAACTAAGGACACCGCATGTATGGGAATCCGCACAGATGCGCACTGCTGGCGCAAGAGCCGGCTGTGCCAGCAGCAGCAGCAGCCTTGTTGCGGCTTGGGTGGTGGCACAGCGGTGGAGCTTGGCTTCGTGGGCACGCATGCCGCCGCAGTTAAAGGTAAACATCTTGGAAGTGTCGGGCCGCATGTTTGGAAGTGTCGGGCCGCATGCGGCTCTTTGTTGTGGAGCGCTGGCACCGGCTGCAGACTGCCGCGACCGGTGGTTGCGGCGGCAGCCAATGCGCACGCTGCCGCGGAGGCCGTTCTGGCGCCGCGCTTGCAGCCGGTGGCACGGTGGTGGGCTGCACAGAGAGAGGGCGGCAGTGATGATGATGCAGACAGCATGGAGCGGCAGCCGCTGGTGGGCGGCGATGCAGGCGGCGGCGCTGGCAACAGGCAGGTAGCACCCGAGACTGACGTGCAGCAGGCTGTCGGCTCAACGCCATCGCCTGCACGGCCACGGCAGAGCCGCAACGAACCCTCCTTGACATGACCAAAGATGACAACACAAATCCACTCCACACTAGATGTTTGTGCATCAATGCAGCTGCACTTTACCTTGAATGTTGTATCAACATATGCAGCGGTTGCGCGCACGAGAAATGTGTGCTTTGCAGCTGTCTTACCCCACACATCTTTTGGGTGTTTGCGTGTGCCCCCGCCACAGCAACCTACTTCCGTGCTTGATTTTGATGCCACCCGCCCGTCTTCTTTGCTTCCTCTTTCTGTGCCTTCTGCATACACTGCAAGGGGCATCGCTGCCCTCGAACCAACAGGCCGGTCACACAAACCCAACATGTTGACCTTGACTTGTCAGCACCGTCTGCTTCCCCACATTTCAATTGCTTCGTCGTGCCGTGTTACCAACGCAGAGTACATGGAATGCCCAATCATCTGTTCCATCAAGCAACACCAGTGATGGGACACCTCACCATCACGGTGTGCCTACTGCAAAACAGTTCAGTGACACCAGGGTGATGGAATCTGCCGCATACATGCCTTTATTTACGTGGATGACGATTTGACGCCTGTCCGGCAGATTGAGTCTTCATCTGTGATCAAGCAGCGCCTACTGGTGGCTGGCCCATCAGAGCATGCGTGCTGCTGTGCCTGTTGCCACAGCCGTGAGAGGTATGAACACGCCCTTCTCGCCGCCGGCAGTGCGACCACCATTAGCCCTGTAATACGCTACATTGACGTTCTCAGCTTTCAGAATGATTTCGGAACGGCCTGTGAGTTTGCTTGCGCCTTTGGGCGCGTGCAAGATCTGCGCAGCGGCTCGACAAGGCCGCCTGGACGCCGGACGTGTGTATGTTGAAGTGTAGTATAGATTTATTCACCTCGACATACGCACGACACTCTGAAGCGCACACACCCGCCTAACGAAGCTGGCCGGGTTTTCTTTCGACCACCTGCGCTGGCGAGCATACATAGCTGCTGCATCCCACAAATAAAGTTACACAGACATAATATTGTCATTTGAGCTCTCGAAAGTCCCAGCGCAGTCCGCCACACATCCCCAAATACCAGCAACATGGCTGTCTCCACCACTATCGGTGAGCCTTCAACGCACTGGGCCCTGCGCGATCGCTATATTGGTTCTAAAACACTGTCATGCAAGGGATCTGGGGCCGTGAAGTATCCTTGGCACTGCGCCCTCTTGACGAACCCCCTGACCTCGCCCATCCTGCCCCGCTGTCGTTGCTTCCGCTTTTTGATCAGGCTTCCCACGCACTGGATCCAAGCGCCAGGCCAAGGTGGCCCTTGAGAGGTGGGGCCGACTGCCTTGCGCAAAGGCCCGAAAGCAAAGGCGCATGCACTCGACGAGGCCTGTATGCCAGCCGCTGCCACGCCATCAGTGTGAACGACGCATTTGCCTCGCTTGTCACCCGCCCTCTCCTTGCATCTGTTCTCAGCGCCGGGACCCGCGCTCGGGTGGCCTTTGGCACCGACATGTATTGGCTGTCTGTTGTCCAGGGCACAAACCGCCAACCATCGAGACTGCCGCTCGCATACTAATCTTGTAAGCACTCAATTGCATGGCCGCAGCTTCTGGAAGGGCAAGACGTCAGAGCCTGACCTGGTGGCCTCGTTTGCGGCCGTTGATGAGGAGGCTTGGCGTGCCCAGCAGGCGGCTGGTGTGCAGCTGATCGCGCTGGACGGCACCTACTATGACCAGGTGCTGGACATGGTCTACGCCCTGGGCGTCGCCCCGGCCCGCTTCAAGGTGAGTGGTGCCAAGGATGCGCCTCGCCGCACGTGTCGCCGGCATGACCTCAAGCTCAGCGTCTGCCCGTGAGATGAGCCTGCCTCGTCTGGGCACCAACATCTTTCACCTCTTGCCTCATCACAGATCTCACTTGCAAACATGCGCGCACACAAACCCTCAGTTTCCTGGCACCCCTTGGTATCTCCTCCCTGCCCCCCCTTCATTCACGCTCCTCGCACAGTTGTCTGTCTATCCCATCACCCGTGTGCCATCGCGCCCCCGCCCCCCTCACCTGCTCACCCACAGCACCTGTCTGGCCTGGAACTCTACTTTGCTATGGCGCGCGGTGCCCCCAACGCCCCGGCCCTGGACATGTCCAAGCTCCTGGACACCAACTACCATTACCTGGTGGGTGGCAAGGCTGGGGGAGGCCGGTCCTGCTTTTAGGGGCACACAACAGGGGCGCTGCGCCACCGACGCCAAAGCCCGAATGAATGTTGTGGTGTGGGGCGTCTCGCTGCAGGGCATGTTGTTGCCCAGAAGCCGGGGCCCCCTGAGCGTGGATGTCCTCATGTACCCCTGTGCCCTGCCCCTTGCGTCCCGCCCCGCAGGTACCGGAGCTGGAGGAGGGCTTCGCCCCCAAGCCCGACTTCTCAGCCATCCTGGACCGCCTCAAGAGGGGCCAGGCCCTGCTGGGCAAGGATGCGGCGGTGCCCATGATGGTGGGTTGATGGGGTGCGCGGGCAGGGGGCCGCGGCCAAGTCCTTATCGTGTGCGGCCGAGCGAAGTCTCCTGTGAGCGGCCACCGACACCTGCGGCTGGCAGCATCGGCCTCGTGCACACACGCAGCACACGCCCATGCTATGCGCACTTCATGGATGCCTCCTTGCAAATTGAATCATCACAACCCACTCATCTCAAATGTGTGTGCACCCCACCCAACCACTAGGTGGGCCCCGTGACCTTTGCCCTGCTGTCGTCCACCACCCTGCCTATTGAGTCTGTGGTGGAGAAGCTGCTGCCCTCGTACGCCCAGCTGCTGCGCCAGCTGCAGGCCGTGGGCGCCCCCGAGGTGCAGCTGCACGAGCCGGCGCTCGCCACGGACAAGGGTGCCGCCGCTCAGCGCGCGGCGCAGGCGGCGTACGCGCAGCTGGCGGCCGTGGGCTGCCCCATCCACCTGGTGGCCTGCTACGACGACCTGGTGGGTTGCGGCCGGCCAGGGGAGGGAAGAGACGCCCTGCGGCACTGCGGCAGGAGCCCGGGCGCGGGGGCCTGCAATCTATTTGTGCCAGACCCATGGTGCTACACCCCCTCATGAAGGACTGGTCAAGATCATCTCTCTGGATGCTGTTGGGCCGTGCTGTCGAGCACTCAACGCCGCACTCTGGCCCTGAATCCCTATCCGCGCAGGGCGAGGCCTACCCCTGGGTGGCGCAGCTGCCGGTCAGGGCCCTGACCCTGGACTTCTGCGGCGTCCCTGGCGCCACCGCCCCCAACGCCACCCTGGACCTCATCAGGGCCAACGGCTGGCCCGCTGACAAGCGACTGGGTGTCGGCTGCGTTGACGGCCGCTCCGTGTGGGCCGACGACGAGGGTGGGTCTCTACATGCGCACGCGCCTTGCCTTTGGTGGTTTGGCCCTGCGCTGCACCTGCATGACGTTTGAACCAAGCGTAGCTGCTGCATATGGTCGGGTGCGATGTCGCTGCACGAAGCACAACGCATGCTCAAAAGGCTTCACCGCGTGCACCCTGTGACGCCCGCGACCATCCCGCCTGTCCACCGACCCGCAGGGGCCTGCACCGCCCTGCTGAACGAGCTGCGCACCCTGGGGGCGTCCTCCCTGGCCGTCACCTCCAGCGTGTCCCTGCAGCACCTGCCCTGGGACGTCACCCTGGAGCCCGCCCTCCCCGCCGGCCTGGCCCCCCGCCTGGCTTTTGCCGTGCAGAAGCTCGGAGCTATCGCGCGCCTGGCGGCGGGCAAGGGCGTCAGCGGGGCCGCCGGCGCGGCCGGCGGCTGGGTGGGCCGAGTGCGGGATAGCGCCATGGAGCTGGAGCGCGCCATGTTTGACCGCGCGGAGAATTTTGAGGCGCGCCGCGCCAAGCAGCCCCAGTTCCCGGCGTTCCCCACGACGAGCAGTGAGTCCGCGGCAGGCAGCGGGGGAGGCGTGTCCCGCTTTGCTTTCATCCCAACTTGGTATGATTTGCTGCAGTCTTTCCTGCCTTGACTGATGTGGAGAGCAAATTACGCAAGCTACACCTGTGGCGCCCCTCTTCACAACAGCAGCCCTTCTCACCAGACCACCCCCATCTGCCTGCCCCCATCTTGCTGTGTGCAGTTGGGTCGTTCCCCCAGACGGCCCAGGTGCGTCGCCTGCGCGCCCAGCTCAAGTCCGGCGCCATTGACCGCCCCACCTACGAGCGGCTGATCGACCAGCAGATTGCGCTGGCCATCGGCATCCAGGTGGGGGGCACAGGGCGGGGGCAGGTGGGGGGCACACAGGATGGGGGCACGTGCGGCTGTGCGGCCTGTACTGTTGTTGGGAAATAAAGCAGAAAGCGCTGCAGAATTTCAGCCTGGCCGTTGCTCATTTGTGGGATTGCCTCTCGTGCTGACGCCACCGCACCCAACATCCCCGGCCTGCCCCCCACTCGCAACCCAGGAGGGCCTGGACATTGATGTGCTGGTGCACGGCGAGGCGGAGCGCACTGACATGAGCGAGCACTTTGGTGAGAGGGTGGAATGGCGGTATCCGCCGCGCAAACGGTTTGAGCCTGTGCAGCAACTGGTGCAGATCTTCCGCCTGCAACCATGCTCTGAATCACCACACCCTGCACCTATACCCCACGTACGTTGCCCTGCAGGGATGCAGCTGTCCGGCATGGTGTTCACGCAGCACGGCTGGGTCCAGTCCTACGGCTCCCGCTACGTGCGGCCCCCCATCATCGCTGGTGACGTGGCCTTTGTGAACGCCATGACAGTCCGCGAGTTCAAGGTCGCGCAGGTGTGTGGGCATGGAGACGGGGGCAGAGCGATTATAAAGGAAGCATGGAGACCTGTTCATTGTCTGGAATGTTGGGCAGGTCATGCACAGCCGTTTCGATATGCCCGCTGCTGCACTGCAGCACCCAACCCAACCCTGGGGTCGCTTGTGTCATCACTGCACACAAGCGTGCTATCATTTAGCAGGTATCCCGCCCTGCGTCTCGCTCCACACGTCTGCCGTCGCCACCAGGACCTGACCCCGCGCCCCGTCAAGGGCATGCTCACCGGGCCCGTGACCATCCTCAACTGGAGCTTCCCCCGCAAGGACCTCTCTCGCCGCGCCCAGGCCTTCCAGGTTGGGGGTGGGCTCGGCAGGGGTGCCAGCATTGGTGACATAGAGTAGCCAGCCGTGGGATGTTGCGCGCCTACGTTTGATGCAACCTTGCGATCCTTGCATCCCCCACGAGAATCCATGCTTGCTTTAGGCTCAGCCGCAGCAGGCCCCAGCAACCCTTCACAGGACGTCCTGTTGACTGTTGCACCCCCCGTGTTGCGTCACCGCGTTCCCCTCCCAGCTGGCCCTGGCCCTGCGCCAGGAGGTGGCGGCCCTGCAGGACGCCGGCTGCCGCATCGTGCAGGTGGACGAGCCGGCCCTGCGCGAGGGCCTGCCCCTGAAGCACGCCAAGTGGGACAGCTACCTCAGCTGGGCGGTGGACGCCTTCAGGTGGGGCCTGGATGGGGGGTGCTGCGGGGAGGTTGTGATTTTGAAAAAGCATGGACGACTGTCGCCCTGGGCAGCAGTAGGTAGTGCCTGTTCAAACAGCTCTACTCGTTCACATAAGGGTGTGGATTATCAACAGTGACTGGGTGACACTTCCTGATGTCAGGAACAAAGTCCATGTCTCATTGCACCTGCTTTTGTAACAGGCTAGTTCTGCATCCCTCCCACACCCCACCTACCCCCCTCACGACGCAGGCTGTGCACTGCAGTGGCCGCGCCGTCCACCCAGGTCGTGACGCACCTGTGCTACTCCGACTTTGGTGACATCATGAAGCCCATCATCGACATGGACGGTGCGTGAGGCGGGGGAAGAGGGGCGCAGCGGGCTGGGGAGGGAGGGTGGATCAGCCAAGGGTGTGTGTGGGGCGGGGGAGCTGAAACAGGCTGCTGGTTCCTAGTTGCACCCTTACTGTATACTGAAGTCTTCAGGTGTCTGGCCTGGTTGGGGTCATTGCATGTAGAGCGTGCAGGCTCTGACAGCACCCGGCCCGCCTCCCACCCCTCGCCCCGCAGCCGATGTGCTGACCATCGAGAACTCGCGCAGTGGTGACGCCATGGTGCGCGCCCTGGCGCAGGCCGGGTACACCGCTGACCTCGGGCCTGGTGAGCTGGTGGCTGGGATGATGCGAATGCGGGCTGCGGGTGGGGGAGGACTACGGGTGCCTGCCTTTTGGAATGAGAACGCCCGCTTGTGCACACGACGCAACCTCAAGAGATCCATCAACACTGAACCGTCCGGCTTCTCACTGCTCTACCCGACCACCACCATCGCCCGTGCAGGCGTATATGACGTGCACAGCCCTGTTGTGCCGGGCGTCGACGCGCTCGTGGCCAAGCTGCGCACCTTCCTGGCCACTGGCATCCTGGCGGGTGCGCCGGAGCGGCTGTGGGTCAACCCCGACTGCGGCCTCAAGACACGCACCTGGGACGAGGTGCGTGCACGAGGGGGCCAATTGCTGCCTGCAACTGAGGTGCCATCGTGTGGGCTCCCCAGGCTGCACTGCGCAGCAACAGGTCTGCGTGACCTCCCCTGTCCTGTTGAACACTGCGCCCCTGGCCGGCACGTCCATCAAGTCGTCCGGCACCCTCGTCCTCGTAATAACAGGTGGTACCGTCGCTGCGCAACATGGTGGCCGCCGCCCACGCGCTGCGCGCCGAGGTGGAGGGGCCATCCAAGGGGCCTGGCAAGGGGGTGGCGGCCACCACCGCGGCGCCCGCACGCTCCTGCGCCGCTGCGGGCTGCTGCTAATTCATCGAGTGGGAGTGGCAGTACCGCTGGCTTCCTGTGGCCCTGCTCGTGGTCAAGCCAGCTGGCATGCAGTACCACGGCCTGATGGTATAGAAGTAGTGCTGCAACTAGATTTTTGCTGCAGCCACCAAGCCGCGTGTTGTTGGGTTTCCATCGATCACTGTCCCTTCAATGCATACTGTTTGAGTCTGTGTGACTTCACCGTACTCTTTGAACATGTTGTTGGCTGCGAGGGTGGCCCTCGTCTTGCACCTCTTACCAGAAAAGCTTGCTCAACCCGGAGTGGACCTAGGCATATGCCCTTTATGTCCCTCAATTGCATCAAATTTAATCGAGACGTGCTGTGTCGCATACATTAATGAAGAGGTAACAATCACTGATGTGTCAACTGCTTCGCTTTCAGGCAGACAAAGCCTGCAGCGCAAGGATGTAGCTGACTCAGCAGGTCATCATCAGCAAACCAGAGCGGGCCGCCTCGCCAGCAGACACCTCGTTCAAGTTTGAAACACGCTTCAAAACATTGAAAGACTCCCTGGAACCGTAGGCCATCTCAGTCACACAGCCTTACAGCCAACAGTCACTAGGAGTCCAGGTGTGCCGCCAACAATGCGCGGGGTGACAAAAAAGCACAGCATGGACGGGGCTGGGCGTGCTGCCGAAGTCACGACCGAAGTGTAAATGTAACATCGCATGCATTCTGGCTGCCGATCGTCCGCGGTGTGCTGCACCCGCTGCTGTCAATCCGCCAAACCTGCGTTGAACAACCCGTCCTCGACACATGCTGGGGATCAGTTCAACAACGAGCCTTACACCTCGCCCATTACAGCATCAGGGCCGTAGCGGCAGAATGCGATGGGACCTCCCCGGCATCAAGCCGGCCTGCGCTATTCGTGCTGTATTGCGGCTGAGGGCGTGCCTGGGCATCAATAATAGCAGTGTGGCCACACTTCCAGGCCGCCCTCGAGGGGCGCGCCGTCAGCATGCGCTAGCATCCAGCGTCGCCTGGCGGGTGCAGCATCCCGGTCCAACGATTCCCAGCACCCTGCAGCGGCCCAGCTTGGAGCTTGAACAACTTCGTGGACGCTTCGAGGCGACAAAGCGCCTTGTAGAGAGTGGCCGTGGCAGCGCGGTTGGGACGCAGCGGCACGCTGCCAGCCGTGTTGTTGGCGGCAGGGGCGTCCTTTGTGCACCTGCCCCCGCTGTCGACACGGGCAGGGTGCTGGACGTGCTGCTCCGCGATGTGCAGCGCGCAGCCATGGCGACGCAGGACCCGGAGGCTGGCCGGCTGGCCGAGCAGGTCGCCGCGCTGCGGTGGCGCTGCCTGCACGCGCCGGCCGACGACGCCCCGCACGACGACAGTCCAGCAGGCGCCCGGACCGGCAGCACCGCCGCCGCCTCCGCCGCGGCTGCCATTATCGCGCTGCCGCCGCCGCCATTGCTGCCGCCGCAGCAGCCGATCCAGCGGGAGCCCCCAAGCTTTGGGGAGCAGCTATTCGCCCTGGAGCGTCGCTGGGGCGCCCTGAGGAAGCTGCTCGAGGCGCCGCCCGACATCGGCGTCCCGGGCATCGGCCGCGGCGCCGCCGCGTCGCCGGCCGGCCTGCTGCGGGGCCTGCTGTCTGAACTCTTCCGCGACGTGGAGGCGCTGTGGCTCGACGCCGGCCGCGAGCCGGCCGCCTACAGCCTGATGGAGGCCGTGGCCGACGCCGCCATGGAGTTTGAGACGGAGGCCGCCGTCGCCGCCGCCGCGCGCGCGGCTGGTGTGCCGGCGGGCGGCGGCGGCGCGAGAGGCGGCGCGCTGGAGACCGCCTCGGCGTTTGGGGTCGCGCGGGCGGCGGCGCTGGCGGGCGCCGACGGGGCACGGCGCGTGATCTTGTCCGATGACCTCTGGCAGCAGTGGTGGGTGGGCAGAGCACCGCATGTGTGCGTGCTTGTGTGTGTGAGTGTGTGTGTGTGTGTGGGTGTGTGTGCATGCGCTTGTGTGCTGGGGAGGAGCGAGACAGGTACGCGGGGGTACTCGGAAAGCAACTAGCGTTGCAGGCATCTGGGGCAAGGCAGGCGACGCGTTTGTCGCCTTGCAGTGTTTGGGGACTGAGCGCAGGGGGACAGCCTGCAGCGGTGGCCTTGGCCCGCAGTAAGTACCTTCACCCTCTGCCTCCGGCCCCTATCCCAACCCCAGGGACACTTTTGCCGCGCGGACGCGGGCGCAGGAAATTCTTAGCCAGGAGCTCGAGCAGGCGGCATTTGCAGCGGCGGCAGCCCTGGAGGCGTCCGTGCTGGATGCCGCCACAGACGCCTGTGCGCCTGCATCCCCGATGACGCAGGCAACTGTGCCGCTGCGCGCCGCTGTCCCGGCAGCAACATCACACCTGGTGTCGGCTGACCTCCCGTTGCCACTGATTGGCGCGGCGTCGGCCGCAGTGGACACGGTGGCCGGGGTGGCGGTTCTGGGTGCTGCGAGCAGCCAAGCCATCGCTTTTGTGGGCAACAAGCAGGTACGCTTGGGTGCCTACTTCATCAGGGCACTGGGACTGGCTGTGGCGATGGCCCTGCGTGCTAGGTGGGGTTGAGGCTGTTGTGGTGCTGGGCGTTTACAGCCATGCAGCCCGCCGAGCAGGTCCCACCAGTGTGACTAGGCGGTTCGGGCGTTCTAGGCCCCAAGTGCCACAACCCTCTCATCCTCACCCCACTTCCGCCGCCAATCTCAGGCGGGCAGCTCCAGCGCATGCAGCTCCTCCAGCGACTTCACCGCTGCAGCACACGCCCCACATGCAGAGAGCAGTGCCCAGGGGCGGCTCGACGACGGCAAGGCCATCACAGCCGCGCCCATGTCGAGGCGGCAGCGCCAGCGGGAGCACCGGCGGCTGGGGCAGCAGCAGCAGCAGCAGAGTGCGGCAGCCATTCCCGACGCCGCCGCTGCCACCGCCGCGCCGCACACTGCTGGCCAGGCGGTGACGATGCAGCAGCAGCAGCAGCAGCAGCAGCAGCAGCCGCAGAGGCCGTGCCGGCACGGTGCCAAGCGCAGGCGCGGTAGGCGCCACGATGGTCAGCAGCACACTGGGCACGCTGCCACGGCCCTGGCAGGCCCGGCGCCACAGCAGGGTGTTACCGCGTGCCTCCCGGCCCCTGTGCTCAGCAGCGACCCGTGCGGCAGTGCAGCCAACGGCGACTTAGTTCAGGTGCTCCTGCAGCAGGGTGCCCCGCAGCAGCTGCCACCCGCCGTGCCAACAGCAGCCAATGCGGCGGGGGCCCAGCTGGAAGCGGCCGCGCGCGCCATCGCTGGCTGGCGGCTGCAAGGCGTGGCCAAGCCGCGCGCACGCGTGGCGCGCGGCGAGCTGCAGCGGCCGCGCGACAGCAGCCTTCGGGGGACGCTGCTCCGCGCAATACTGCGCGTGGCGCGCGCGGCTGAGGTTGTGACTGCTGGCACCATTGCGGGGGCCGCCCTCAGCCATGCCTTCTTAGCATGAGGCCCGGCGGGAGCGGCGCTGCCCTCTCCTGCGAACGGGCGAGGTGGGTCGGTGGGCGCCACGCGGACGAAGGGCACCGACCATCGCGGTGTGACGCGTCTTGCCCTGGACCCGTCCAGGATTGGCGTGGGTGGCGCGAGGGTGTCGTGGCCCTGTCCACTCTTGTTTTGACCTCACAAGCGCTTTCAAAGGCGAGAGACACGCGCATCAACATGCAAGCCGCGCCTTTGTGCGCCTTTGTTGCGCCTACTTTGCTCAATTTTTGACTCGCGTGTCATCCTCCTTGTTCCTTCGTTTCGAGGCTGCTACACACAGTTTTTCACCATGAGCCCTGGTTCAAGCATCGGCCATGCGCGCCATCAGTGCACCCTGTACAGTACACAGCAAAGAGGCTGGCCTCTCAAAACGATTGCCGACTCACTGCCCTGGCGGTGTGTCATGCTCACTACACCTGCCGTTAGCCGTGCTGGATGCACGTGCCCTCAACACTCGTTGATGCCACAGCCGCCCTTCCCTCACGCCAGAGGGTGCGTTGAGGGCTGGGTCACACCGCAGCAATCTGGGTGGCAGCCCCTGTGCAACTGCCGCCCACGCAGCGTGTGGTGCCTGCCCTAATAACCATGCGGCTATGTGTGGCGGCTTGAGTCCCTTGCAGCTACGTGGCCCGACACCACCACGCTGCCCGTTGTCTGTGCCCCCAAGCACGTCCCCACGGCGTTCCTGCCGCTGCCCCAGGCTGCCTCTCGCCTGCGTCTCTTTCCACGTTGCCAGCGCCCTGTGTAACAATCAGCTCTCTGTGTCCAGCATTCTGGCTTTGTGGTGCCCAAACCAAGACGTCACACGCACAATCAAGACAGCTGGGCACAGTGCGACAGGGATGATGGGGCGGGCGGGCCTGCGGGGGCCAGACGCCTGGAACTGGCGTGCCGCGGCCCATGCCAAACGCACACCACGGCTGCACGTTAAATTGCATGCTCTCAGCTTGCACGCATTCTCTGAATCCAAGAGGCGCGCTGAGCCCACACGCCCAAGGTGGGGTGAGCGAGTACGCGCCACAATCACTCCACAGCACCGCCCTCGCCAGCACCACCAGCCGCGCCGCCCGCCGGCGCGACCGGTGCTGCCGGCACAGCCGCAGGCTCCAGCGGCGGCGGCGGCGGCTGCGAGGGTGGCGGTGCTGGCTGGCTGCTGCCGTCTCGTGGGACTTGCTGCGGGCTGCCGTGCGGCGCGGCGCTGCTGCTGCCGCGCTCGCCGCCACCGCTGGGCGGCGGCGGGCCGCTCGGGTGGTAGGGCCCAACGCCCCCACGCCCGCCGCCGTGCCGCTCAAAGCCGCCGCGTCCGCCCCTGCCGCGCCCGCGCCCGCCGCCCGGCGACGGCCCGCCGGGCCCGTGCCCGCCGGGGCCGCCGTGAGGGCCGCCGTCGGCCCCCATGGGCATGCCCATGGGCGCCCCTGGCATGCCCATGGGTGCGCCCGGCCCCGGGCCAACCGCGATGAAACCGCCGCCGCCTGGGAAGAACGGCGCGCGACCGCTGGGGCTGGTGCCCGGCGCGACCGGCACAAACGGCATGCCGACCGGCATCTGCAGGAACATGGCGCCGGGCGGCCCCATGGGGCGCACCATGACGGGGCCCTGCTGGCCGGGGCTGAAGCCGACCATCTGGCCGGGGGCGCCCATGAAGCCGCCGGGGGCCATCATGACGGGCATGGGGGTGGGCATCATGCCGCCAGACATGGGCATGCTGTAGGGGCCTGTTGGGAGGGGTTGAGGATAGGTGGTGTGGTGGGTGGCGTGAGGGGCAGGTGCGGAGGCTGCGCCCTGCCAAGGAACACGAGGTGCGGGGCGAACAGGTCTGGTCGCGGCCCGGCGTCGCTCCACCCAGCCCAGCCGTGACCTGGCAGCGGCGTTTTGGACGCGCCAAACCCATGACTGTCGCAGTGAGCGCCAGGAGTGACCGCGGCTGCGCTCCGCATGCCCCGCTACCCCCCCGCCCCTCATGCACGCCACCCACCATTGGCAGAAGGGAAGCTGCCCTCCCTGCTGGCAGGCGGGCCCCCGCCCATGCCGCCGCCATAGCCGCCGTCCCGCTCCCGCTCGCCCCTGCCACCCGGCCCGCCGCCGCCGTTGTCGCGCCCGCCATAGTGGCCGTCACCGCCCCCGTGGCCATCGGCCTTGCCGACCCGCGGGCTTTCCCGGTGGTGCGCGCCGCTGCGATGGTGCCCATCACCCTCGCCGCCGCCGCCGCCGCCGCCGCGCACGCCCATGTCGGGCCCGCCCCTGCCGCTGCTGCCGGCGCCGCCGCCGCCCGGGTGGTGGTGGTGGTCGCCGCCCTGGGGGCCGCGCTGGGGCGGGCCGTGGTGGTCCAGGGGGGGGCCCCGGGGGTCGGGGCGCAGCCCACCCTGGTGGGGGCCAGGACCGCCCGGCCCGCCAGGCCCGCCGCGCCGCTCAGGGTGGTCACCCTTGCCCGCACCGCCGCCGCCGCCGCCGCCGCCTGGCCCGCCCATGCCGCCCGGCGGCCGTGGGCCGGCCATGACGCCCGGCGGCAGGCCCTGGCCGCCGGCCAAGGGCCCGCCGGGCGCGGGGCCCATGGGGATGAGCCCCACCGCCAGCGGCATCATCGCCACCGGCCCGCCCTGTGGCCCCAGCGCGCCAGGCGGCCCCATCGCGCCCGGCGGCGGCCCGCGCCCCCCGGGGTGGCCGGGCAGGCCGCCCATGCCGGGCGGGACCATGGCGCCCGGTCCGCCCATGCCGCCGTGCTGCAGGCCTGGCATGGCGCCGGGCGGCGGTGGGACGAGCATCATATGCGGGGGCCCCTGCAGGGAGCCACCCGCGCCGCCAGGGTGCATCACGCCTGGCGGCCCGCCCATCCCGACGACCGCGCCCGGCGGCGGCGGCGGCGGCGGGCCCGCAGCGCCGCCCATGTGGCCGCCTGCGCCGGGCATCGCGCCGGGCGGCGCGCCAAGTCCGGGCGGCGCGCCGATGTTGCCCGCCGGGATGGGCACCGCCGGCTGCCGCACGGCGGGTGCTGCCGGCGCAAGCCCGCCGCCGCCGCTGCCCCCGCTGCTGCCGCCGCCGCTGGTGCCCGGGACGAAGGGCTTGGCGTTGACGTTGAGGGAGAAGGGCTTGGCATTGGGGTTGAATTTGAAAGACGACTTCTTGGCCTCGCCCCCAGCGCCGGCTGGCGCCACAGGCGCCTGCGGCGGCTTGCCGCTGCCCGCCGCCGCCCCCACGCCGCCGTCCTCGCCCGCGCCCGCGCCCGCCGGCGGCGCGCCTGCAGCACTGCTGTTGCCGCTGCCGCTGCCGCCGTCGCCGCTGGTGCGCTGCAGGGAGGCGGTGAGTGTGCTCTTGATGGCACGCATCTCCTCGGCCCTGCGCTGCTCCTCCAGGCTCTTCTTGAACTTCCCAAACTCGGCCAGCACTTCGTTCGGCATCTGAACGAGGAGCGGGGGTGTCGCGTGATCCAGGCCAGCATTGTGTTAGGCCAGCATTTTGCGCGTGTGTTTGAGGGGGGAGGGGGGGGGCAGGGCAGCAGCAGAAGGGAGTCCGTGCAGCAGTGGTCAAGTTATCGGGAAGGCTGAGACTTGATGTGTGTCAAGGAGCAAATAGGGACCTCGGCACCGACGTGGACCCTTGCTGTCCAACCAAACCCCTGCTCGCCAGGTTGCCGTGCACGCGGGACACCTCGCTCTGCACTCGGGCCCTGACCAGCCCCACACAAACGGCCCACTCCACGCCCCTGTAGCCTCCGCTCATCCCCCTCCCCCAGCTCTCGCCCCCCGCCCCCACCTTGCTGACCCCCGGCTCCAGGTTGAGTGCCGCCACCTTCATGGGGTCCCCCACCAGGGGGCTGGTCAGAGGGCTCTTCAGGCCGCCCTTGGGAGTGCCGTAGGGGCTGGAGCGGTCCTTCTTGCCCGTCATGCTCATGCGCAGCCGGTTGGCCTCCTTGCGGGCCTCCAGGGGGCCGCTGATGTCGATGGGGGACGACCGCACCGCGGGGCTGCCAGCCGCCGCGGGCGCCCCGCCGGCGGCGCCCAGGGGCGGGGGCGGCGCGGGCACCGGAACGGGCGCCGACGCGGGCGCGCTGCGTGGCGGCGGTGGCGGCGCGCCGGAGACGGCCGCGACACCGGCGCCTGCACGGCCCCAGGCTGGGCCGCTGCTTGGGCGCGGGATGGCGCCGTTGGAGCCACCCCGCTGCTGCTGCTGCTGCAATTGCTGCTGTGGGTGGGCGCGCATGCGCGCGACGTCCTCCGGCCGCAGCACCCCAGAATACTTGGCCTCCTCGTCAAGCTGCACAGGGGGCGGGACAGAGCGCAGGTGGGGTGAGCGCGTTGACAAGAAAGGGGCGGACCCCGGCTGACAGGGGCGGGGTATGTGTGCGATAGGGTGGAAGCCTGGCCGTGCAGCCCCTGGAAGGCAACACCTCTCAGGCTGCGAGCTCAAGGGTGTGGGCATGCCCACAGCCGGCGCAAGGTTCCAGGCCCCACTGCATTGTGTGAGCAGCGCCCTGCTCCGTGGTGACAACCCCTGCAAATTCATGCTGCCGCGCCCCTCGCCCCGCGCCCTGCCCTGTGCCGCAGCGCACCCCCGAGTCATCCACGTGCTGGCCCCTCTCCTCTGCCAGGTGCAGGTTGGTTGTGTCACCGCGCTCAATCTCAGACGCGATGCGCGCCGCCTCCGCCTCGCTGATGGCGCAGCGGTCGCGGTCCAGGCGCGTCGTGTAGAACTCCTCCTCATAGGTCGTCTCCACATTGTACAGGGCCTGGTGGGGTCAGGGTGGGGGGGCGGTGCAGCAGCGTGGTGAGGCGAACGATAAGTGACCATGACTGCCATCCCTGCCACGGGCTGCATCGCGCTGCACGGCCTGTTTGAGGCCCACTGCCCAGCGTAGCATTAAAAGTGCTTGATTTGCCACGGCCTCTCTGCTGCCCGTCATCTTGCGTAGTGGATGATCCCGCGGACCCACCCTCTACCCGACCGACCGCACCTTGTTGACTGCAAACTGATCCCAGCCGCCGTCCCCGCCGTCCTCCAACGCAAACAGGCTTGGATCTGCCGGCTCGTCAGGCACCCACGCCACCAGCTCACGCCCGGCAATCCTGTGAAGCACAGGGTCAGAGGCACGCCGGCAACGAGAAGCTGTTGGCCTCGGGCAGCGGGGAACCTGCTGGATTCAGCCTCGCCACCCTCCACATGCCCTCGAGGCTGCCATGCAGAGCCGCTGTTGCCCTTCCACACCATTGGATCCGCCAACTACAGCAGTAAGCGTAATACGCGGGCGGCCCATATCGGCGGGTGAGCAATGCGCGGGCAGCCTTTATCTTCCCAGAGGTGTCTCACCCTCCGCGGCCGCGCGAAATGGCCGAGTCTGTCTCAAATCCAACATCACCAAACGCCTCGCTGCCGAGGTCCTCCGGCGCCATGCGCACGTCCTTGGCGACGATCGACGCCAGCACATCCGAAATGACCACCTTAGTCTCATCGGGACGCTGTGCCAGCTCCTGAAGCCCATCAGCTGTAAGCGTCGGGTCGCGGACGATCTTGGCGTAGCGCAGCACCACGTGCCGCGCGCCGGCGGACAGCTTCATGCAATGGAAAATACCCTCGTACACCACACCGTCAAGAGTCTGCGAGATGGAGGGCGCGGGAAGCTCAGAGTGTGGCGCGGCGGAGCGCGGCCCTTCCAACAGCAAACCAGGCGGGCTTGATCACAATCCCGCTTCTCCACGAGGGATCATTAGCCGACGAGGCTCACCTGCACCTCAACCTTGTGCCCTATGAGCACCGAGGCAAAGAACAGGAGCCGCTCCTGGCCGTCCACCGCTGCAAGTGCCCTTGGGCTCCCCTGAGCGACCCCGGCGCCGTTGGCCACCGCAGGCGTCTCAAGGGCCTCCATTGCAATATCCTACTTGTGTCCCTCGGGCCTAGCAGTTCAGATCGATGGGTGCTGCAAAGGCCATCGAGCGACCAATGACAGCGGACACCGGGAAGGGAACGAAACGAAGACAGACGGTGTGACGGATGGAAGCAACCCAGCGTGATTTTGTCAGGGCACTGCGACACCGACACCGACTGTGCCACGCTGCCTTGCTCATGAATTTCAGCCGTCCTGCAACTCTCATGAAGAGCAAGGTGGCATGCGTCACAGGCTCACAGCGAGGCTGCCACTGAAGAAGGCTGAGGCTGATACATTTCCACCTTATTACACTCTTCAATATGCATGTGTACGGTTTGCCGAAATGTCGCTGCCTGCGGATGGCGGGCGTTTGGCCCGTCTCACTGGCATGACACACTTGCGCGTGTGCACACGTACACACACGTACACGTGCGGCCATACACAAGAAAGCCAATTGCAGATTGAGGTCGTGGCGAAGGCCGCGACGGCATAGCAGCCAAGCGCACCGATGCAAGACGACCACGGAAAGACCACACCATCGCGAGATCGGGGCATGGAAGACAGCACAGGTGGACAAGCCGCATACTACCCTGCCTGCTGCAGATGCCGCCACCACGCGTCCCCGCTGAAACCGCTTCAACAGCCCGCAGCTGGCGCAAACAGTGACGGCTGAACACTGACCCACTGCTGAACACATGAGGCGAGTCTTGCCAATCATCATGTGGGGCCGTGGGCGTACAGGCGCGTCCACTCACGGGCTGCGGGATTAAAGAGTGGGAAGCAAAAGCATCATGAAAATTGGATCGTTAGGTGTAGTACAACTGCAAGAAACACCACAAAATTGGCAACACACCGACCAAGCGTGCTGTCAAACGCACACCACCAACAGCGCGTTATGTTTGCGGTCAGGAGAGAATGCAGGCATTCCAGCAAATGCCTGTAACCTCACCCGTGGCGATGGCCTCCGGCTCATTGTCCTTCCAGTGCTTCGCCACATTCTCAGCCAGGGGGTCATCCGGGTTGGGCGCGCTCATCAGCGCTTGGATGCTGCGGGGTGGGACCAACACACAAGGATGACCCCGTTGAACAACTCAAACTAGGGCGATGGGGGCGCTCAACGCCCCTGCTTGGCGCGACGGTGGCAAGTGTCCCCAACTCGGGTGGAGTACCTGGCCATTGTCTGCATGTTGGCCATTGTCTGCATGTGCCACGATCTTATGAAACCCTCCTGCTTTGGGGATGAAGCCCAACACTTGCGCACCTCAACAACACGGTGCGGATCTGCAGGGCAGGGCTCCACTTGTCCTTGAGGATGTCCAGGCAGATGCGGCCCAGCTTGTCAACATTGGGGTGGTAGATCTTGGTCAGGAAACGCACCTGGCAATATATTAAAAGGATGGGTCAGACAACAAATACATGTCGCTAGCTGAACAATGGGTTTGACCGGCTGCTCATGGAGCACAAACATCTTGCCTGGTCAGATCTGCCCAAGCCTTCCGCTGCGCCAAACTCCACTGCTATAGCACCAACCTTTGGGGGTGCCATGGGGTAGTCCTCGGGAAGAAACAACTCAAGCTTGAAAGCACCGCCTACAACCACAATGGCATGTGCAAAGCCCATCATGAAAGCATATCACATGACGCTGCATGCAACTGGCCACTTCCGCACAGCAGCATCATCTGACCAGCTACCCAGCAGGCCTGCCATCGACGAACAACACAATGCAATGGAGCTCACCTTCATAGGGACTTGAGCTGGGCCCTGCAATCATTATGTCAAAGTAACGCAGGTTGTCCTCCGAGGGGGAGGCGCTGATGCCAGGCGCTGCGAAAGCGCGAGGCGGCGCGTCAGCGCGATGTCGAGCACGACTTTTAGCATGCAACCAGACAGAGCCATGATACGCATGCCTTTCTTGGCAATGACGCCCTCGTTGAATCTGCAGTGATGTGGCAGTCTGGCTTGCGGACGCAAGGCACCTGCCGCAGCAGGAAGCGCCGCCGCGCAGAGCCCAAGCAAGGCGGCCCCGCATGCCATGGCATGTCGCTCACCTGGCTCGGACAGCAGCCGCTGAGTCTCCTGCGTAGGATCGGCCGAACCAACCCCGCTTATTTGAGTCCAAAGCCACGAGCATGCATGCACAAGCCCCCTGGCTCAAGTTCGTGCAAGGGCCGCGGCCCACCTTGATGATGCGCCGAGGCAGCTGAGCGGCCTGCGCTGCAGCCATCTTTGCAAAGCTGTATCAAAGTCTACCGCAGTTAACCCTCCCGGAGGGCAGCGAGCCCTGCCGTGTTGTTTGGTGATCCAGCGAGCCTTGCCCTGAAGACGACCTGATAGCTATGTGATAGGGACCTATACGAGCGTCGACAGTAACAAGGCGCCGCACAGGGCGACGAACTTGTCGCTGTGTTCACCCTTCGTCTGCCAATGGGTGAGGAGCCGCTGCCTGAAGCCCAATACTGCCGTGTTGTGACACGAGTGTTCTGCCGAAGTCGAGCTGGCAGTTGTCTTGAACGCTTGGTTCGGTGATCTGGGCGCGCAACAAGTGGTTTTTTTTCGGTGGCCCCTGTCATCAAGGACGTCCCGGGTTGACGCCTAATGAGAAATTTGCGTTGAAGCCTCGGCATCCCACTCAAAAACCTCATCAGCCATCTCCATGTCGTCCAGCATGGCACCGCCAGCAGTATTTTTACCATGGCCCGCACCCAGTGGCTTGATCTGACCGGTCTATAGCGCTGATGAGGTCATTGCTTTGTATCACATCCGAACGCATAACCCACACTTGCCGACTCACCTGGCTGGGACGGCTTGGCCGGAGGGGTCAACGTTAGGTCAACGCACCTGAAGTGTGCGTGTCCACCTGAAGTGTGCGTGTCCTTGCGGCTTACGAAGATTTGTACGATGGGTAAGATGGCGATCTCAAATGCGAGAAGTCCTCCCGTAGCACACCAAGTGCTCACAGCTCACATCAATAGCAGCGCGATTGCAACAATGGAACATCTACGTGTGTGTCATGGCTGGCAGGCGCCCTGGATCTGCTTGTTCAATCAATTCATGGGAGATCTTAGCAATATGGCATTGCCTGTGGAATCCTTTTCCTGTGAAGGGTTGTTGCTGCTGCTAACACCGTACCTAGCTGGGGACGACACGAGACACGAGTGCTGCGTCCGGTGACAGCCCGAAAATGTGCACCAGACGGTGTACACAGATAGCTGGAAGACTCGGTGGTGTATAACGTGATTATCAATTCCGTTACGGTGTGCCATACGGCATTTCCGTGCTCAAAAAGTGGCCCCGGGCGCCCCGCAGAGAAACGCACAATGCTCGGGCATAGGATGAGCGCATCGTGTGGCCAACGTGCTACTACACTGAGAGCGGCTGCTTTGAAGCCCGACGGCGCGGCGCCCTCCCGGCGCGTGGCTGCGGTGGGCCTGATTGCCGCAGGCCTGCTGGCGGCGGCAGCTCGGCCACAGGTGCAGCAACCACTCCTCTTTCTCGTTTGAAAACAGGGTGGTTGGGAATGTGGCAGAGCAGGGAGGAGGGCTTTCAATGGTCCGCGTTGCAGACAGCATGCGGCGGCCTCCTAACAGGGCGAGAGCACGCTGCTGACTGAACCCACCACATGACGCGCTCGTCACCATCCCACACCCCTGACCCAAAGCCCTCGCTGGCCTATGGCGGACAGAAGCAGCTGGCAGCGATGGACGCGTCGACCGACGGCAGTGAGTGCCGCCGTGACCGCAGTAGTGCGCATGCCTGGTGCCTGGCCCGATGCATTTTCCCTGCTCATGCGATCAGCATCGCCGTGGTACTCACGGCCTTCACCTGCTCTGACGCGGCACGTAGGCGGGGGCAACCGTGATTTCCAGGAGCTGGCCGCCATCATCAAGAAGCGGCGGGCGGAGGCCGCTGCAGCCGCAGAACAGGCAGCTGCCGCAGCAGCCGCTGCGCAGGCTGAGCCGGAGGCACCCGCCGTGGAGTCGGCGGCCGCGGACGCGCCGCAGGCAGGGGCGCCCAGCGCAGAGTGATTCTCCACACATTGGCGCGCCTCTGCGCGAGGGGCGTGCACCAGGAGCCCTGCACCAGCGTCACCCTGTAACACAAGAAGCTGCGCGCGCCCTGAACCGGGCACGTGTCCTACAAACAGAACCGGCCCCATGACCGCACAACTGACACAGCACGAGACTGTGCGGTTCTTACACATCCCAAACCGCCGCACCGCCACCTGAGCAACGCGCCCGACCAGGCTCCTCGCGCGACGCGCCACCCTATTTCAGGTGGAGGGTGCGCCCTGCCGGGCACAAATGCAAATCAGGCGCGCCCTGAGTCTCCAGTCTCACATGAGAATGTCCTTGCACTGAACACCACCACTGCTGCTGCTCCACAACACAGTCAAACCGTTCCATCGCATAGAGACACGGGCCCGCCCGCTGACGGCCAACAATTATGGCCGAGGCCAAGGGCACCGCTGCTGCTGCTCTCTACATTTCGACCCGGCCAACGTCGCATGCGCCGCCTCAAGCCTGCCGCGTACGCAGCCGCCGCCACTGCTGCTGTATGTTTGCTGCTCCCACGCTACTGCTGGCCCTCCTGCTGCTGCGCTGCCGGCTGCTCCGGCGTCTCCTCCTCCTGCGTCTCAGCGGCCGGCACCTCCGCCGGCTTGTCAGTGAACGACACCTGCACCATGGCCGGCCGCAGCAGGCGGTCCCCCATAGCAAAGCCCTTGCGGAACTCCTACGGGGGCAAGTGGGACGGGAGAGGGGCGCGGGAACAGGGGGAGATCAGAAAGCTAGCAGCCGGGAGCGAGGCACCCTCCGGCAGGGTCTGGCGAGTATGGATGGAAGTCTGCCTGCCACGGCGCGATTAACATGCGCCATTGATTGGCCAGAAGCCCGTGACGGCAGCAGCCCCAGGCCCCGTTCTCACGGTCAGCCTCCCCCCCCCAAAAAAAACATGCAGACACGCACGCACGCACGCACGCACGCACGCACGCACACCTGCAGCACGGTGCCGTCTGGCACGTCGTCGTTGGCTTCCCGCGCGATGGCCTCGTGGAAGTTGGGGTCAAAGGGCGAACCCACCTGGGAGTGGTGGAGGGGGTGGGTGGTCGTGCGAGTCAGCGCTGCACACATAGCCTGCAGACAAGCTCGGCGTAGGCAGGCAGAGTCATGGCGCACACAACAGGGACGTACAGGGCACGTGCGGCGCACGATGCGCGGCGTGGCGCAACGAAAAAGCACGCACACAAGCACACACGCACGCGTGTACACCCAGCTGCGCAGCGCCCCTCTGCTGCCCCCCCCCTCCCCAGGCTGGCGGGCCGCACCGTGTTGACGGGCTGCACTCCCAGCCCGCGCAGGATCTCCACCATCTGCTTGTACAGCCCCTGGTAGCTGGCCTGGATCTTGGCCTCGCCGTCGGTCTCGGTCTTGACCTGGCGCAGGACGGCGGGGTCGTGGGGGGGCAGGCGGAATCGTGAGCAGGACCTTGTGGACAGCACATCGAGTCCAGGCCAGGGCCGCACCCGCTGTTGAGGTTTGCTGCAGCAGGCCCAAGTCGCTGAGACGTGCAGCGGTTGCCGGGCCCCAGGGCGCTCTGCCGCCGTCGCCTGCCCCTCGCCCCACCTGTGTGCGCGCCAGCTCAAAGTTGTCGACCAGCGGCAGCAGCCCCACCACCACGTCCCCCTTGGCGCGCGAGCCGAGCTCGTCCTTCTCCTTGGCCTGAGGGGGGTGGGCGGCAGCATGCAAGCTCGTTATGCAGTCATGGAATGAGAAGGGGCCGTATGGCCGTGGGCTGGGGGCAAAGGGGAGTGAGGAAGAAGCAGGCAATCAGCAACGCGCTGAATGGGCATGGCCAAACTCACCCAAAACAGCCCACCCCGGTTCCCAACTGCACTTGCCACCAACAGCATATGAATCCCATCGACCTGCTGCCATCCGTCAGCCATCCGCTCTTCTTTTCAGCCAAGCCTGTCCAACCTCTGACGCCACGCACCGTCCTGCGCCGGAAGTTGTCAAAGTCGGCCTGCAGCCGCAGGTACTGGTCCTTGGCGGCAGACAGGCTGCCCTCCAGCGCCACAGCGCGCGCCCCCTCCGCCTCTGCCGCTGCCGCGCTCTCCCGCAGCGCTGACAGCTCGGCCTCCAGCTCAGCCAGGGCCTCCTCCTGTGGTGTTGATGTTGGGTGGTTGTTGGTGGCAGGGACACCACACGCACAGGAAATGCAGGCGGTAGTCACAGCAACGCACTGAAGCGCCGTCCTGTTGCGCTGTCTGGCCCAGCAGCACAACCATTGGGTCCATGCAACCGCCGGCCGGGCGTAGGAATGCGCCGCTTCTCCACTCTAGGAGGCGCTGTGCTGCCCACCTCCCGCTGACCCCGGACACCCAGGAGATTCTGGATGCATTCCTTCCCTGCACCCTTCCGCACCCCAGGATCCCATTCTTGATCCCCTTCCCCCCCACCCCGCCCCATACCCAGATCTCCACCTGCCCCCCATCCCTCGATACCCACCAGCGTGGCCTTGTCCAGCTCGTCAGCCTCCAGAGCGGCACGCGCACGCTCCAGCGGCGGCGCAGCAGGAGCAGCAGCGGTGCCATTTCCAGCCTCCTCAGTGCTGGGATGGCAGAGAGGCGGGGACACGTGGGGTGGGCGCGGAGCTGTGAACAACCTCGATGAAAAGACACACGGTGCCAGCATCCGACGGTTGAATGCAGCCCGACGCACTACCATTGCCGCGCTTATGCTTGTTATCAATCATCCTCACCTCGCTTCTGCAGTGGCAGCCTCCTCCTGTAAGATTGGCGCAAAGGAGGGCCGGCAGTGCATCACGCGACGGCAGGAGGCCGCGGGCGGCGGGCGGCTGAGGGCGGCGATAAGCAGGATTCTGCCAGCATAGACGGCACATAAGCAACACGTGTGCGTAATTGAATGCGCTCTTGCTTGCATGCAGGCGCCAATTGCCTCACCTCGCCGGCAGCCCTGAGCAACAGGGTGCGAGGGTGCCTGGGAGACACCATCGCCAAGCGAGCGCGGCTGATGAATGTCACATTGCGAGACTGGATCCTCGCGCCCGCGACGCGGCGCTGGAGGCTCGCCGAGAGCTGCATTTTGCTGCTGTGAGCTGCGTGTCCAGCCTGTCAGAGATCGTTCAATTGTGATTCGTTACTATAATTCAGATGTTGTTAAGTAGTGCCGACTGCATGGGCATGTTATACGGTAGCATGCTCGCCAGCACAGACGGTTCTCGAGTGACTGCGTCGTGCGTTGTGCAAAGCGCTCCATGTGAGGACACGGCCTGGTGGAATTGAAAAGCATCTGTATTTTTCCTACATGCTGAATCATGCAGGCAGTGGGCAGCAAGTTGGCAGGCGGGGACGTGTTGACTCCAGAACCTTGACCTGCATCCTGACGACTGAAGTGCTGTGCACATATGCTAGAGGCAGGGGCATGTCGTTGCCCTGCCCCACGACGATGTCCCACCAGGCACAGCAGCAGGAGAGATGCTTGGTTACATTGTGCAGACAGGTGCAACAAACATTGGGACGAGGTCGCAAGCAAAATGGACACATGCTAGCTGCCCCAAACACCTGGATCCGCAGCAGGTGTGCCTGGCAAGTACTTGTGTGTGTATGTGTGTGTGCGATGCCCTTCGTACATGTTGTGTTCTGTGAAGGGGCTCTTGTTCTCAAAGAACGCCCCGTTCTACAACCAAACCGGGCCGCTTTGCCCGGGCAGTGGCGCCGTGCAGGCAGTAGGATTGTCAAAAATTTGGCAGGACTCTTGCCTGGAAGTTGGCGCACACGACAGCCGGGCCGTGTCACCGCCGACTGAGGCCCCAATGTTTCTGCACATTGTTTCAGGCTCCACGTAGGGGGCTGCAAAACTGCTGTCGCCTCCAGCTGGAGCCCCGGCTATGAAGGACCCGCAAGGCAAGGAAAAGCTCACACAACATATCCAAAGTTATGTGGTGTGGTGCGTAGTCCCTGTGCGCATGCATACGCATGGTGATGTACACAGCACACAGAGTGCGCATCCGACCCAAGAAATACTACAGGACCGCAATCGCGGCCGCGCCTGCCCCCACAGCAAAGCGCCTGCCTCCCCCTGTGTGACAGCGCCAGCCGCCTGGACGGCGCCGCTGTGCATCGCGCTCAAGCGCGCGCTGCGTGCCTCAAAACCTCCACAGTGTGCGGCGCTCACGCCTTCTTCGCGCGCAGCACGGCCTGGGCCGCCGCCAGGCGCGCGATGGGCACGCGGAGTGGGGAGCAGGAGACGTAGTCCAGGCCGACCTGGGGGCGGGGGGTGCACAGGAGGAAGGGGGGGTCGTGGAGGCGTTCAAGCCTGCGAGCGTGATGGGTCGCATGGCCCTGCCCGGTGATGCACGGCCAGTTGTGCGATAGCTGTACGGCACGCCCACGGAGCGCAGGCTTCTGCGCTAATCACGCTTGGAAGCGGGCGACCCTGCAGCAATGTGTGCTGGGGTGCAGCGTGCCAGCCACTCGCCCCTGGCGGCGGCGTCAGCCCCCTGTGCGCACCTCCTCAAAGAAGGCCACCGAGGCCGGGTCGCCGCCGTGCTCGCCGCAGATGCCGAGCTCAATGTCGGGGCGCGTCTTGCGGCCGCGCTCCACCGCGATGCGCACGAGCTCCCCCACGCCCAAGGTGTCGAGGGTCTCAAAGGGGTCCACCGCCAGGATGCCAGTCTGTTTTTTGAGAGGGGAGGGAGGGGGACAAGGAGCAGGTTTGATGAGGTTGCCCGGAACAGCACAATAGTCTTGGGCCCCGAGGGCGGCCAGCACGAGCAACGAGCCAGCTCCTGTCTGCAACCTTGGTATGCCAACAGCCTTGCTGCCTGCTGAGCGCGACGCCGTCCGCTCGGCCCATGGCCCCCTGAGCGACCAGCACGACGCAGCTCAGGGCCAGCAGGGCCTTGTCCATGGAACCAGCTACCCTGCCCACACCCCTGCGCCCCACCTTCATGTAGTGGGCCAGGAACTTGGCCTGCGCGTCGTCGCGGCTGATGCCCATGCAGGTCTGGGTGAGGTCGTTTGTGCCAAAGCTGAAGAACTCCGCAGTCCTGGCCAGGTCACCCGCCCTCAGGGCGCCACGCGGGATCTCGATCATGGTGCCGACCTGCAGGGACAGCCCGCAGGCAGGCGGGATGGGGAGGGGCGTGGTGGGCAACACCTCGCTGGGACCACACCACAGCATGCAGCGCAGCTGCGCAGGGCCAAGCCAAGCAGCCGAGCAAAGCTGGAGAGGGCGCAGCTTCACGCGGGTGTTGCTGAGTGCCCTGTTCACCTTGTAGGGCACCTCCTTGCCCAGCTTCTGCATCACGTCGGCCGCGGTGGCCTTGACGAGGGACACCTGCAGATTTGAGGTTTGGAAGGGGCGGTGGTTGATCGCGGGGGTACTCCTCAGGCAGCCGCAGCTGGGTTGTCTTGAGTGCGGCAAACGCAAAGCAACAGGTCCAGCACGCTGGCATGACTCCGCCCAATCCTCTCTCTTCATGCAGCGTAGTGACGCAGGCACACACAAGCGAGGCCCATCACTCAGACCACCCCACCCCCCACCCC